CAGTATTGTTACTAAATTATCAATATCCGAGTCAATGCCTGCTGATACTCCAGGATATTGAATTTTTAGCGCAACCTTTTCTCCACTAGGTAACCAAGCTCGGTGAACCTGTAACATCCGAACAAAAGATTATTCGTTTCTTCTCTCAAGAATGGAAACCATATGAACAAAATACTAAAAATAAACTGAACTAAAAATATAAACTGAACTTTATTAAAATTAAAACTCGTCCTAATATAACTTCAACCTGTCCGATGGATGCAGCCGCAAACGGAACATCCTCAAATCTTCTAAATTTCTCACGCCAGTTTTCACCAAACGAATCACACATCTGACGGTGAACCTGCCATGATGGCATAAAATCAGCATTGTGTCGAACACGTTCAAATATTTTGAGTAATGTTGGTGAAATTAATTCCGAATCTGAACTTGAATTACTCATATTGATCAAACAGAAGGTATCTATACAAGTTAAACAATGACAGTTATTTATAATTCATGATTCCACATATTTTAATGAACGAAAAAAAAAAACGAGAAATAACCTTGTATGCTGAGCATTTGACCCAACTTTAAGGCAGCACCACGCACTCTACACAGAGTGCGTACAATCTTCTCAGCATTCGCTTCCGTCATGAATGGATTTCCGGTAGAAGAAGTAATACTGGTATCTGCTGATGGATTTGCAGGCTAAAATTATTTTATTTCAAAAACACAATCACCGTCCAAAATCTTAATTTCAGCAAAAGATAAAATCGAAGTTCCAAATTGACGACAAATTTACCTTACTAAAGCCCAGTGTCCGCTTGCTGACTTCTGCAGCTGCACCCATAATGAGACTCACTCCAAGTTGGCCAAATTGAGCAAATCTTGCTATGCGAGAGCTTGGTACTTTGCGTTCCCGATTCTTTGTATTTAAGGATTCCACTTCCAAAGCTTTCAACTGATAGCCCTGAACACACATGTCGTCTTAAGTTATGTATGATCGGTAAGATAAACTGTTTAGCTTGATGATGTGGAAGTCAAACCTTTGGTAAACGCGGTTCATAATACTTCGATTTCGGAGAAACTATTGACGAAACAATATCTGCATCCTTCCTGAGAAATATCATGGTGTTTCCAGGCAAAATTTGCAAAATAAACATCTCTGAATTTTCGTAATCATTCTCAGTAATCGAAAACGTTTGGATTAGGGTGATTTATATATTAAACACTAATGTACACTTACTTTGAAATATCGTTAAATCCTAATACAGAACTTTCGGAAGCTTGTTTTTTGCTTAATCCACTGTCACCGTTCTTCCAGGGTTTGTTGTCAGAGTTGTTCGAAGTGCTAGCATCCTATGTAACAACATTGTAATTAATCAATTAAGATTAATCTTTAAACAAAATTTCTGAAGGATGAAATTATTTACCTCATGAAAAACTTGTATAAGACTTGAAGAATTATCAAGACCTGCATCCGAGACCGTGTAACCTGCCGTACCTGTAACTACAGTTCAGAAACTTTTTCATCGCTACTGTCATGAAACGACCAATACAGAAGGAAAGTTTTAGACAGTTGCTTCATCAAGCAAATTAATACTAACCAGGATATATGCCTCGTGTAGTAAGTTTCGTGAGTTCCCTAACACTTGAAGAAACTGTTTGAGCACGTCCAAAAAGATCGCAAAATTTTTCGAGCGACCACCTTGAACCCCTTTAAATAATTGTTTAATTTCACAAAATAATAGAAGTAATAAACAGCTTGATGAATTGTTGCACATCCAGCTGCAAAAATCCGTCAAAATAAAGTGAACGTTAGTAAAGTATATCAATACATATATACATGGTCTAAGTGAAACTGGATGCAGACATTCACAATTAGATTTAAAAAATTTACTTGAAGTCAAGATGCCGCATTTGGTATCCTAATTGGCTGCGCACCAAAATGCGAAGTGTATTCATTATTGGACCGAATTCGTCTCTCCATGAACTACGATTCATCGCTTTTCTTTTTTCGGTTCTTAATGTAAAGGGAAAACGGCATAACTCAGTTTAAAACAAATCCAGAAAAGATTTCTAATAAATAATTAATCAGTAATTATAAAGATATCTATTTATTGAATCAAAAATTCGATACAACAAAACACACCACGGATGTAACATAAATCAGATTAAAAATCTGTTAGTAGAAGAATAAATGTAGTAGTTCAATTTGAAAAACCACTGCAGTTCCGAGGAATATTACCTAAAAATTAGGAATTACTTACTGAGATTGATAACAGAAAGGTGTAATGTAGTAGAAAACGCACCACGTTTATTAAAGTTCAAAAATGTCTTAGAAAACGCAAAGTGTTTTTAAAACGGAAAAAATAGAATCATTTATCAAGAAAAATAACTTTTGTCCAACATTTAGCAACAGATAAAAGCAACACAGATTTGAATAAAATCTCACATCCTGTACAAAATTGTACAACTTCAAAGTCGAAGTTAAATGACTTTTCAAAGGAAATTTTCAAAAAAATTTTCACAACTCTTTCAAACAATTACAAAGTAGAAGTATAATTTATGCAAAATATAGTAACCTTTAAAAATAAAAACCAAACCCGCATCGATTAAAACCTAGACTTCCTACATAGCTACCAGATTATTCTAAAAAAAGTGAAAAGTTATATATAGTATCAAATTCACCAAATTTTCAAATCAACATTTTCAACTAATTACATACAATAATGAACACTCAAATAATTTGAATATTATCACTGCAACGAGAAATAAAAATAAACAAACCACTCTGATTGATCTCAATTAATGATATACATATCTGAAAATCCCGAAAAATGCACTGAAATACCGCTCATCGTTATATTATATATTATATCATATCATACCACATTACTTCTATTTATTTGTTTTAAATTTAAACATGAATGTAATTCAAATTTATAACTTTCATATGTATACCCTCTTTTTTTAAATGCTTAAACTTTCTGATGTATCTAACATTTTTAAGATGACGAATCGTGAATGCTCTCCAGAATAAAACGCTAAAGGCATCTCACCCGTTCATTTCACTACATTTTATCGACCAATTCTTGCCATTCCTCTTCTCCTTTTTTCTCTCTTTCCCTCCTATTTTCCTCTTTTTGACATTCCTTACGAGTAAAATATATCCCACAAACACATACACATACATACATACATACATATACATGCAATAAATACCTTTGAGCCAGTTAAAGCTAGGGAAAAATCCGACGAATCATCTTCTTGTATTGAATTGATTAATGGTTTTATTTTACTTTATTGTCTTTTAGCTTGATGTAATCTCTAACAACGATAATTTTAACTTCTTAAAAAATTCTTTTATTGATGACGTTACGACCACGTTACTAAAGAAATCGACAAAATTACATCATTTTAAAATAATTAGGTTACATTTAATAAACTATTAAATGAGAAATCATTTATGATATCATTTAGGAATATTTCATATTAAATAAAAAATTTTTTTCTAACATTCTTCTTAATAACTAGATATCTTTTATTATCAAAATTTATCAAATATTTATTAAAATATTTTTCTCCTTCTTTTCTCCTTATATTTGTCAAAAATTTTTAAGTGTATTTATTTGCGTATATATATATATATATATGTCGCAAATTTTTTATGTTTATGTAGAAGAAAATTTTATGTTAAATAGCATATATATATATGGAGAAGACATAACCAATCGTAATTGTAACTTTCTAATACACATATTATTTCAATATTTCTCAGAAGAAAATTTTAATAATATAAAATTTGAGAATTTATAAAATCTTCCAAAATATAGTATCATTTCAGGTAAAATAATAAAGACAGGGGACATTTAAAAAAGAAAAAGGACAATTTTAAGATATGGGAACAACAGAAAATAACGTTAGAAATTGACGCATTTGTGTAATAACGTTAGAGGTGACGCACACGTGCAGTAGCGTTAGGAACTGACGCATACGTACAGTGATATTACAATCTGTTTCATACGTTGGCACGTTTTCTGTCACAATTTCTGTATCTGTTATTTTTCAATATAAAAATTTTTTTATATTACAATTTTTTCTTTCTGTTATAATTTCTGTGTTATTTTTCAATATATAATATTTATGTTATTGTAATTTCAAGGAAAATTATATGAGCATAAAATATTATCATTACTACTGTTATTATTCCTCGTACTGCAAATTATTTAAAGTCTGATCAACATTTATGTATATGTGATTCAGAATGAAAATACAATTTGCTGACTTTCTTTTTAATTTATATATTCAGTTAAAAAAATGTCATCGGAAATAGTGAAAAAAGAGGAAAGGAAACGAAAAAAAAGAGAGAGGAAAAGGTAATCATATAGTTGCCAGCAACTGAAATTAGTTAAGAAAAAAAGAAGGAAAAGGGTTTGTAAACAGTCATTGCTTACGAATAGTTGACAAATGAGAGGATGACCAGATAGGCAAAATTCTTATTACTAGTTTTCTTTTTTTCTTACTTTTTTTTGATTTCCATTTTAAGCAATTCTTATGGACTTATTAAAAGAGCTTATGCGACGAAAAAATAAAGTAAATTTCAATGTGATATTATTAGTCATTTTCAAAAAAAAAAACACATAAATAGAAACGGTGCAATATTGTATAATTTTATTGAATAATTGAATTGTTTCTTTTCTCTGTTTCTTTCTCTCTCTTCGAATTATTTAATTTAAATGGTGCAATATTCCATTCAGTCTAAATTGTTGTGAGAAAGCAAATGAAAGCAGAAATTCTTCTTTCTTTTTCTGTTTTGTGGTTAATGTCATTCTGTTTAATGAATAATTTTCTTTATGCGTTATGGACATACAGATTATTTTAATCGATAGCTTTTTTTTTTTCTTTTTGCTTTTTAATATGGATATATAGATTATTTTAATGAATGATTTTTTAAAAAAATTGAAATTTCGGTTTTAGTTTACCTTTTCTCTTTATTTGCCTTTTTTTTCCAGACAATGAGTGATACGTCGTGGGTAATAACTGAAGCAGAAATGCGAGAAAATGATATTCAGTTCTCGTCTCTTAATCCAGTAAATGGATTTGTTTCCGGTGAACAGGCACGTCCATTATTCATGAAATCTGGTCTTTCACCAGCAATTCTAGCTCAAGTGTGGCATTTAGCTGATTACAGTAAGGTAAGAGCATTTTTTTTTTTTAAGTACTAAAAGTAGATTCAATTTATTATAATCGTTTCGAGAACAATGTTTCGGTATCATTCTTTGGATTCAATAATTTCATCATTTTATGGACTCAATAATATTAAAAAAAATCCGTTTTGCGAGACGGGTCAAGTTTATAGGATGGCAAGATGGACCGAATTGAATTTTCGATTGCCATGCATTTGATTCGTGCTGTATTGGCTGGTGCGACGTTACCACCAACTCTTCCGATCTCCTTAAAGGTTTTTTACGTGAATTTTTTTGTTTTATTTTTTGGATTAATTCTAGATTACAGTTAAACTTTTGGAGAATAAAACAAAAATTTCTAACTGCTTCCATATACAGTTATTATTTTCTGTCATTTTTCTGAGTCATTTTTTACAGCCTCCAGTGGTGATAACTCCATCATTTCCTCCACTGATGGCGCAAACACCAATGGTTACTCCAGTAATGACCTTTGGCGGACTTCTACCAACTACACAAGATTTGATCACTTCTGGGAAGATACAAGGTGATTGGACCATACCGCATCATAACAAATTGAAATATTGTCAGCACTTTAATCAGCTTGACAAAAACAGAATTGGGTCGCTTAGTGGTGTTCATGCAAGGTATTCTTTTGACAAATATTGACAAATATACCAAATAGCATATGTTGTTATGGTGTATTGGTTTTTAAAGAATTTAACTTCATTTTTTAAAAAAAATGATATTTCTATGATATTTTATTCTTTTTTTTTTCTAATGTTTGTGTACGAAGTATTTATTTCAGAAATATTTTGGCACAAAGCCAGCTGTCGAATTCTGTCTTAGCTGAAATCTGGAATTTGTCGGATTATAATAAAGATGGACGGCTTAGCGTAGAAGAATTTTGTGTTGCCATGCATTTGATTGATTCAGTTAAGGTATTATTTCTCTATTTTTCAACACTTTATCAATAGGTAGCACATTGAAGTACTTGTCCAGATAATAATTTTAGTTGTATTTTTCTGCTTTTAATGGAAGCGTAATTTTCAGACTGGTTATTTGCTTCCAAAAACTCTTCCACCTGAGTTAGCTGCTCACTGTTCACGTTCCGTTTCTGATTCACCAGTACTTGATCCGAATGTACCTCCTGCACAAAAAATTCAAATACCGAAAACATTTGAGGACAAACGCCGTGATAATTATGATCGTGGGCAGGCAGAATTGGATCGACGTCGTCAGGCATTACGTGAAGAGGTTTTTACTTAAATTCGTAATTAGAAATTTGTTGGTGCTATCTGTGACTTTTTTAAGTTCTTTTGATATTAGATAATCATTGTACCAGATTTTTAGGAAGAACGTCGTCGTGCAGAATTTGAAAAGAAAGAGAGAGAATTGGCAGAAAAGAGAGAACGAGAAAGGGAGGAAGCTGAAAGGAAACGTCAGGCTGAACGTGAAGCGGAATTAGAACGTGAGCAGAAACGCGAAGAAGCTCGTCTGGCAGAAGAAAGACGTGTTTTGGCAGAAAAAGAGAAAGCTAGAAAGGAGATGGAACGGCAGAGAAAAGCTGATTTGAACGCTATACGAATTCGAGAAATCAAAGTAAGATAATTTAGCCGATGTCGTTTTGGTTCAGACCAACAAATGATTTGAGAGAAATTTTGACATGTTGTTAGGACATGGCCTGAAACTTGAGAACCATTAGTTGAAGTAGATGAAGCAAAGAATTATCGTTATCAGCGGCATGTCTTGTGTATGCATTTCTGTGGATTTCTGAAATTCGTGCAAAATTTTAGGCACAGCGTCAAAATGAAGTGGACAGCACTCTGGAACGACAGCAACGCCAGAAAAGTCTATCCTTTCAGCTTCAAGCTCTCGATGAAAAGTCAACAGAGTTGAACACTAACATTACTCAAGTATTTTGTACTATTTGTTTTTGTTGCTTTTGTTATTTTGCTCAACTGTTACTCTGTACTGATAAACATAGTTCCGTAAATAAACATTTGAGTTTCAAAAATACTATGAGGTATATATTAAGATATTGGGGAATTCTTTTATCCAAATTTAGATAGAGTAATAATCAGTTAAAAAGTAATTCATATTTACAGTGAGTTCACTACTGTTACGGCTCGTAAACAATTAACGATTTTATTTATAGTATTTCTCTTGAATTTTATTTGTTTTGCAGACAAGGGATCTAATTGTTGGTATAACAAAAGAAATAGAATCAATGAAAGTCAAACGTGATGAAAAAGCAGAAAAAATTCGATCATTGGAAATAACAAAACAACAAGTAAATTAAAGCAGCTAAATTTCCTTGTGTTCGATATGAAATTCTCTGAGGTTTCAGAAATTTGGGGCTGTGGAAATATATTTAGCAAAAGGTGTTTATTTCAAGTGTTCAGAACTGTTCGTTATCTGTTCTCAGAGTTCTAGAATGACTTATAGGAGATTTGTGGATTTTAAGTTTGATCAAAATATAAAATGTCAGCTGAATTCCAGTTAAGTGTGCAATATGAACGACTGGCACACGAAAGTCTCCAAATGCAGGTTGAATGTCGTAATAGAGCGCAAAAGGCTGAAGATCTTGAGCAAGCGAAAAATGCAAAACAATCTCTAATTGCTCAATTATCAACGTTGAATAAACAGTTGAAAGATGCAAATGAACGAGCAAAGGTTCAGCAGCAATTGGTTACCATGGTAACAACATTTTCACTAGTTTTATTTTGTCACATTTTTTTCAATTCCGTATTCTCCTTTTTGTAAGAAAGAAATAAAATTTTAGAAAGCGGAAGAATTCAACGAGTGTAATTTAAAGTTAACTCAACTTTCGACGCTACATTTTCAATTGTACGAACAGATTAAAACTTTGAAGTTGAAAGTAAATACCATAGTTTCTGGGCAAAATGGTGATGTGCCGAATGCTGTGACAACATCTTTGTTGGGTCACTCACTTAATAAAACTCCATCGGTTGATTCGAGTAAGTTTTAAAACTATTAATTCATCTTTATCAAATATGAATTGTGAGTCTGGTTTTGGTTTTTCAATGTTTTCTGTAGATTATATTCAGAAGTTGTCGATTTTTAGAAAGTGTTACGAACGGAACAGTTCAGCAATTTTCCGTGCCTAGTAATTCATTACCAAAAGGAAATGGTGCTACTGGTACAGTAAAATATCGGGCATTGTATGAATTTAATGCTCGTTCAGGTGCATTTTTGAAATCTTTATCACTATTCATTTTCTCTTTTTTTCCTCATATGTCTCGTATTACCCGTTTTCAGTTTAGGAGTAATTTTGAGATATTGTACTAGAATTTGTAGATGACGAGCTTAGCTTCCAACCAGGAGATGTTATTCTTGCATTTGAAAATCATGCCGCAGAACCGGGCTGGTTAGCGGGACAGATGCGTGACAAAGTAGGATGGTTCCCCGTAGCATTTGCCGAACCAATGGTACCTGTTACTGCTGTTCCTACACAGGTAACACTTTAATTGGTTGAAATAGATCAGTAGTTGCTTAATTTCTGTCACTGTACCATTTTTTATTTAATAGATCCAATTGAATCAGTGTTCAGGATGTGCTGTTTCAGCCGCCGCAAACCATATCATCTGTTACAACTTCTCCGTCAAGCGAGCCGTTGCAGAGCATTGTAGAGGAACCGGCTGCTGCGGTTGTTAAATCAGCTTCAGGAACTTTAAGTGCTTCACCATCCGGTAGATAATGCAATTATCAATATTATAATGTTTGTAGTTGTTTTTCAAGACATTCTATGAACTTAAAATTAGTGTTTAAGGTTTTCATAAATAGAAACACTGATTCATCACAATCATATGTCTGTTAGATTCTTATTTATTTTGTTTTATTTCATCTTTTTACAAATTCTTATTTATTTCATCTTTTTAGGACAAGAAAAACGGTTGCCTGTTCTGGGAGCAGCAGTTGCTTTATATCAGTGGAAGGCAAGAAATGATAATGAGTTAAGTTTTTCGAAAGGAGATACTATCGAGATCCTGGAACAGCTAGAAATGCGGTGGAAGGTTAGAAGCTAAGTAATGAATGCAAAATTAATATTTCATTTGAAAATGGCCGGAAATTTTTTTGTAACATGAATGACGATGAGAAATCTGAGCATTAGAACTATCGAATTATATAGTAACAAAATTACGTCGAATTAAATTTAGAAATTTAGAACTTTAATTTAGAATTAAGTCTTAATTTTTCGAAGTTTTGGATATATCAGTAGTAAGTTAATAGAAAAAAAATTACCAGTACGCATATTAGTTCTGCAAAAAATAGACATTAGTACAGTTACTATTAGATTTACATATTTAGTTTTGGAAGACGACTTATTTCTATGATTTAGACCAAAATTTTTGCGAGTTTAATATTGACGTTAACTAGTCCTGATTATTTTGCATTTTCCAGGGTCGTAATAAATCTGGCTCAGTTGGTTGGTTCCCCAAATCGTACGTTTCAATGTCAGGTGGAGATAAGGCCGATTTGAAAGATAATTTAGTAAAAGATCAAGTTGAAAAGTCAAAAGAATCTGATGCAAAGGAACCTTCTGCACCTTCATCTATTCCCTCAGCTGGTGCAGTATATGATATTGTTACAGGTTTAGTTTTTTTTTTTTTTTTTTTTTTTTTTTTTTGTAAATCATTCTTTTCCCTCTGAAATGTAAACACATTAAAATTTTAATTCACATGCGCTTTATAAAACTGTTTCTTTTTTTTTTTAAGTGATGCTTTTCTTTAGAAACACCAGCTGAATCGACATCAGGCGAGTGGTACGTGGCACTGTATGATTTTCAAGCAATGGAACCAACAGATCTCGATTTGCATGCAGGTGATCGTATTCTTGTTACGGAAGCAATCAATGAATGGTGGAAAGGAACTTGTAATGGACGAACTGGAATTTTCCCTGCGAATTATGTGCAAAAATGCCCACCTTCTTCAGGTGATGTATCGCAGTCTGGTAAGATTTGTCGTCCATAAAAATACTATTGTGATGTTTTTTTTTTTTTTTTTTTTTTTCGTAAAGTAGACTTTACATTATAAAGCTTTGATGCGAATAAATTGACGAAAGAAAATTTAGAAAGTGCAGACTTTGGTACAGGCAGAGCTATTGCTGATTTTGAAGCTACAGCGGAAAATCAGTTGTCTCTGAAAGTTGGTGATGTAGTAAAAGTTCAAAGCAAATCATCTTGTGGTTGGTGGCAAGGCGAGGCAAGTTGCACATCTTTTCTAGAATTTTCTACTTTGCAACTCCCATTTTTTCTTCGTACTACAATTGCGGGCTAAAATTCTCAGCTGAACTGTAATGATATTTATAGTTTTTTAGCAAGCAGAAAATGAGAAATGAAGTAAGAAGTTAGGGAGAATCCTGATAGGCAAGATTGCCCATGAAAAGGTTGATCTAGAAGTTCGTAACTAAAAAAATCTTTTTTCTGAATTGTGCTCAACTAGATTTGCAGAGAGGTAAAGAACGAATTAGTGTTCATTTCGAATTCCAACTTTCATTTTAGATAATAACATTGAAGTAACATTTTTGCAGATTGTTTCCGATGGTGGAACTAGAAAATTTGGTTGGTTCCCAGGTAATTATGTGGAAATCTTAGGTGGAAATGAACTGAAAGCAGAAGCCTTATATGATTACCAGGCACAGCGTGATGATGAATTATCTTTTAAAAACGGTGATATCATAATAGTCACTGATCAAAGTGATGGCGAATGGTGGAAAGGACGTCTCCTGAATGACAAAAGTAATACTGACGCACTCTTCCCAGGAAATTATGTTCAATTGCGGTAGGTTATTTTTTATTTCTTTTAGTGGTATTTCAACTAAATATCTTGCGGATATTTCGATGGGATCTTAAGACCAATGCGAATTCAAAATTCTGTCTTAGCGAAATTTTTTCAAGTTGAAGAGCGCATTAATTTCTTAGATTCGAGTTAAATTTTAAGATGACCAAGAAAGCCAACTTAGTGTTACCAAATGAAGTTTTAATACAAAATCAAAAATAAGTGCAAGAACGAATAAGATTTTGATTCGCTCTTCGATTTTTTAAGAATTTATTCTTAATATAGTATTCTTCCATATGGATAAGGTTGACATTTAAATACTAAATATGAGGGTGCATGGCAAAGTAGTCTTGAATTTGTTAAATTCTTATCTAAGTTATAAATATATATGTATAAGTTTAAGGAGTAAATAAATTTTTCATACTTTAAAAGAGATCAATTTGATTTGATGATAAGACTTGTTTGATACTGATTCACTTTTTAATGGGTCAATTCACTTATGTTTTCTGTACTCATCTCCTTTAATACTTCATTAGCTTGCTATCGTAGCGTAGTTCCTATGATATAAGATCAACTGCAATCAGATTTAATTTGGTGTATGGCTAATATGTTTTCTTTTTTTAAAAAAAAGCTCATTGCCACTTACATCATCCTTCATGTTCATGGTGTAGCTTTCCGGTATGTTAGTAGCTCTGGTGACGGCCACCTTGATTAGCACGGATTCCATAGTATTGACTTCTGCCTTTGTTTTGATTGAAATGCTCAAAAGATTGTTTAAACATAATTAAATTTGACAGTTCTGGTCTTGAGGAGATAAAACTTTGCAGGCAGTAAATATATCTTTTCTTCGATCATTTCGGTCAAATTTAAATGCGTTATTTATTCGCGACTTTTATTTCTACTTAATTAGCATCGTACTCGTATAATTCATTATTGTCGAGTCAGGTAGAAGTCATTTCATCAACGCCTAATATTTATTGGTTCGAAATATATTTGTAAAGGTAGGCAATTATTTTAATTTATCATGATGGACAGGTGCTACTTCTACTAATGCTGGATTTACTTTGCTACTGGATTGTTGATTATCTTGGTATTGATATAATAAATATATAATGATTATATAAAAATTGTTTATCAGTACGCATTTCAAGTGATTGTATTTAACTACTCAATTTTCTTCATACTTTGAAGTTCGGGAGCTTTGTAAGAATTCTATGTTTTTCAAATTTTCGAATTAGGTTCATTTTTTATTTGCATTTCAAGTTTTTCTTTTTTCTTCTTTAGTATATTTTTCTTTTTTCTTCTTTAGTATATCTTTCATCCTTCTTTGCTTTGCTTTAGATAATATTTATATATGGTACTGTTATTTTATATCATCACAATAATTCTTTATTTAATGATTGTTTTTGTCTCTCGTTATATGGTAAGGACATTAATGCATGATGATTTTTATAATTTCCTATTCTGGTCTCAGATAATTTTTTCTCGGAGCTCTGTTGCAAAGTTTATTTTATTATCAGTTTAACACTCGCTTTCTGTTATATTTGGAGGGATTTCAATCTCGTCAAAAATGCTACCACTGACCTGATTTCAGTGTTAAAAGTCTAAATTTCTAGATTTTTCATAACCATAATTTGCAAACATAATTATATAATTTAGATATATGGTCGCTTATATCCCTCATATCACTTATGATTGAGGGACTAGAACTTTTTTTTATTCTACCTTAATTGTCGCATTTTCGCATTAACTACTTAATTACTTGTTGCTGGATTCAAGTTTCAGGTAATAAAGGTACTCATTGCAATAATTTATTGTTTTGTATATATGCTTCTATATGCCAGTTCGCTTAATTTATTGAGAAAATTATAGTTGCCATTGGTAAGGTTGTTGCAGGCAATGCAGCGAATAAATTTCAAGATGCTGGATGGAAGATCAAGGGCATCTCAATTTTGAAGATATTTAAATTTAATATTTATAAATTAAAAAAATTACAGCTGTTTGCAACAGTTAAATTTTTGCTTGTTATGGCTTAATCCTAACTTGTCTACTTTATTTCTTAAAATGGTATCAGGCAATGGCATATCTGTGCTACCACTAACTATATCAATCGAAAAATTAATTTAAACATGGAAGAACTTGGAAAAATTTTCTTCCCTTATTTGGAATTTTCGAAGTTTTATCTCTTTTAATTCATTGATAAATATTTTAGGTCTCATTTGGTGTTACCGTGAGTGCATATATTGACTGGAGTGAATTCTTGAATGATTTTATGCAATATGCCATTGTGTCAAATAGTTTATGATTGTGCATTGCTTTCTTCTGGATTTCCTTTCTTCTAGGTATGCATTACACTTCAAGCGAGTGTCCTGATAATAAAATCTGGATTCTTTTGTCCTTTTTTCATATGGTGTAGGTAAAATATTTTATGTAGCTTGGACTGAACTGGTACTGCTTAAGTCATTAACGATTATTCAGGATAGATATTTTTCATTGCAAAAGTATAAGCTAGTGTTTTATCCATTTCTGATCTTGTTGTATTATCAATGACTTGAAGATGGTAGATTTTAGGAAATAGAAATTCAAAATTTTTAGAATTTATTATTAGCAGCAGATGCATATAGTATTTTCACTATCAAAAATTAATAGCATCAAATTGTTAACGATCATTTTCTTGCATCGCCTAATTCTGTGTTGGACGTAATCATGTGTGATACATCAAAAGAAAGCTTTCAAATGCCATCAAACTATGGCATAAATCTGAAGGTGATAAATTATCAAACACTCCGTAGAAGTGTAATACAAACCTATAAAAATGATGTTGCGAGAGGAAGGCATGTACAATTTGTCTTTCCACTAATTAGTTTTGTAATTTACTTTCTAGTATTTTTCGTGATTTTAAATTTTTTTTGAAAATTCTAAACCAAAATTAACATGCTTAATGGCATAAGGTGAAGGCTATTATTTGCATATTGTGCATTTGTAATTTAAAAAACACTGGACTAATACGGATAAATTTTATGTTGATGAAAATTGATTTTGTACAGCATCCAAAAGGAAAAGGTGTGCACGTTACCAGAGCAAATTGTACTATAGAAGAATTTGGATAGATATTATCAAAGGAAAAGGTGATGATCAAATTTTAGAATTCCGAGAATTATGGATTTGACTTCAGTGATTTTTTAGAGAACTATTAATTTTCCAATTCTTAACTTCTTAGATTTACTGGATAATTTATATCATATAATATCTTTTCTGGATGCATCTCAGAAATTCGATATATTGTTCAACAAGTGAACATTTAACATAAAGAAAAATGAAAAGAAATAGAATGGGTTTCTATTTGTCATATCGACTTCGGCGAATTTGAGTAATTTGTATTTTCCCTTTTCCATTAAAGTACCGCGTAAAAGCGGTGATCTATTTAAACAATACATTCTTTAATGTCTTGCCTACCTTTAATTGTGAAATATTGAAAAAGTGAATAGGTTTATATGAAAATTATGAGATACTGGAAAAGTGAATAGATTTATATGAAAATTGTAGGTGAACTAATAAAATATAAATATGAAAGTTGGAAGTTGGCTCTCACTTCAAAATGAAATTTAAGAACATTTTGTGAATATTTTTGTTATATTGGAACATTTCCACATAACTGGAATTTATAATTATTTGTTTATTTTTCTCTTCGTCTCATTTTTCAAACATTGCTTTTTAATATTTGAATTTCAAATAGAATGAGAAAAAATTATATAAAATCGAAATAATTTGAACAGTTTTAATGAATTAAAAGCAACATGTAGTTGTATGATTGAAAATATATTAACGCTTGCACAATTTCCTTTCTTATTTGGCATATACACGTTACACGTAAGTAATGACGCGAAGTTCATTTACACCAGTCTTATTAAATTTGATATATTGTAAACTGGAAAAGTTGGTGGTTATCTTAAAATGGTTTTGATACAATTATATTGCGATATATGTGACGAGTGCGTTAATTAGTCTGATTTATTCATATATACAAGCTAAATATTCTTGTCTCTCTTCAAATTTCGAAATAGCCCGAAATATTATTCTGACAACGATTGAACTACATTGTTAGAATGTAAGGAGATTAGAAATACTTGAGAGTTACATTTTGTTATATACCAAGCGATTGATGATTTTTTTTTTGTTTGATGAAGTAAGATATGATGATAGAATGTTAAGTTTTATTAAATTTGCTAAATTCAAAAGTAAAATTAATATGAATTCTATCGATACTTCATCACTTAATAATTTCTAATGATACTAATATTATCGTATTTTGTCTTTTAAATTAGTTACGTACAAGAGTTTAAAATATCTGATGGTTACCAATTCAGCAAAACCATACAACCAAGCATCGAAGTGTCTCTAAATTCAGTGACATCTTTGCATAATCAATCTGTTACAATCACAACTGAGCAATATCCCATCGTTTCTTCGAAATGCGAAAAAGTTGCAAAAGTATGCATATTCTTTTTATCATTTTATTTTATATATGATTATTTATCTTGATCTTCTATCTAACTGAATCTTTTTAAATTAAAGTCAAATTGAAGTTTGTCCGGGATTTTTATTGCCTATTAATTAGGTTTGTAATATGATATAATGCGTTTCAAATTTTCAAATGTTTTTTTGTCGTATGTCAATTCTAGTAAAAATCATTGTATTTTTTTTATAAAACAGAATTTTTTCAGGAATTGTTGGATACTGAAGTGAAATATTGTCATGACCTAACACAGTGCTATGAAATATTCTCTCAAGGATTAAAAGACATAATTAATACTGATCTTGCAAGCCAGTTATTTTTAAACTTTGAACAGCTTATTTCTGTATCTACGTCTATTGCTAATGCACTTGAACAACTGTCACCTGGTTAGTTTCCTTTTATGTTAAGTAATTAATATAAGCAATATATTAAGTAATATAAGAAAAGGAAATGATTGAGGATGATGCAGACTTAAATTTATACATGAATGCGATTTCATATGCTTCTTGGCTCTTTCTTTCTAAACTGTAAATTAGTAATTAGAATTAGGATTCGTTGTTCAATAAATTCAAACTTGTTCTTTGTTGAATACAAATCATTTCTTTCTCTTGTTATCAAACTTTTTTTTTTCGGAATTCATTCTAGTGAATTATTTCTCTATAAATTGGTTGTCGAGAAATTTCTTGATTGTTTATACAATGTTTATATAATGATCTTTTCTTTTTTTTTTCTTTTGAGGTGATGTATTTGTGGCGAATTTTGATTTACTTCGTGCTTATGTTGAATTTTGCTCGAAACAACAAGCAGCATTGGAAATGTTAAACGAACTAGAGCACAACAATATTTCATTTAGACAGGTATTCTCTTTCCTTTGATTTTTTTTTTTTTTTTTTTTTTCTAGTTCGCTATTATACTATAATTTTCAATTTTTCAAAATTATATTTCAGGCATATCGTTCATGTTGTATAAAGACAAATGGAATAAACTTTAGCTACTTTTTGCTTTTGCCAATGAATCGTATTACTCGTTATCCGTTAATTTTTGAAAAGCTTGTCAAATATACGCATCCAAGTGATTCTAAACGCAAGGTTGCGTTGCAAACTTTGTCATTATTTCTTTTTCTCAAATTTTTAATTGTTTCAGTTTTCTAAAATTTACGAATTGTATTTATGATTGTTTCTAAAGTAAATACTATTTATCTAGAATCTTGAAAAAGCGCACGAGCTGTTGAAGTTATTATGCACCGAAATTAACGATGTTATCAGTGCATTGGATAGTTCAAGTATGCTCATTTGGGCTCAGCAACACATTCATTGTGAAGCTATACAACCACCTATTGTTTTCCCATCTTCTACACGGTACTTTGTTGTTTAAACCTAAGTTCGAAATTAAATAAATTTAGAAAATTGCAAGATTAAAAGATGCATCAGCTTTAGATTTTTATAAATATTAATTTCAGGAAAGTTGGACCACGATGTCTCCTACACTGTGGTGCTTTGCAGAAACTATTAAATGGGAAAATATTAGTTGCTCTATTATTCAATGATTTTTTGATGCTAACAACACCCGTAGAACCAATTGAACAGGTTTCAACATTATCTCTTTTTATGAGTAGCTAGACTAATAAAAGGTTAACGAATTATATTTATATGCATTTAGCCAGATCGTCATGGTAATATATTGTACAACAGCTAAGAAAAACTATGACCTGATTTACGTATCAGAAAAATGTTAAATTTTGCAAATCACTCAATGATGGAAGTACGAAAATAGATTGTAATGAGAAGAAAACATAGATCATATTAATGAGAGTGTAACAAACTAAAATTCTTGAAGGTTTCATATAATTTTATTATAGTTGGAGGAATTCAGGATTACCAAAACAAGTGAATTACAGTTAAATCTTTACAAGACACCTTTGTTATTGGAAAATGCTAAAATTATACAGAATAAGGAAATGGATGATTGTTCGTTTGAAGTTCGCTCTGGTTAGCGTTTTTTGGATTTTCTGAATTTTTCTGCTTGCGTGAGTTATCTTGTACAATCCGGTTTGAAATAATCCGGTTTGCTACTGCATTATTAATGATTTCTGCTTTGTTAGACTAATATTTGCCTATCTAGATTTTAGGTGATTTTTCTATGATATTACGTGCACCAAATCGAAATGCTCGATTATTTTGGATTGCACAAATTGAAAAAGCCATTAATGAATATCGTAATCAGTGCCAAATAACAAAAGTTTGTCATATTTTTGCATATGATAAACAAGCATGAAATGGATTGGTTTTTCATTTGAATAAAATTTTTTTATCCTTTTAAAAATTTCTCAAATTTATCAGGTATTTTTATGTAATCACAAGATTTCTTCAGAAACCATCATTATCCTATATGTCTGAACAAGGTCGACTTTTCGTTGAACTAGTTTGCATTCTAAACGTCGACAGTGCATTAAGATTATTGGGAACTCAATCAATATTGTGCAAATTTCAAATCGGTCAATCATTAACCTATGCTGACGTTGATATGAACAAAAAAGAGCATCTTTGTACGACACAACTGCCTATCTATGAAACTGCTTATGATGATTTTTTTGAAGTAGCAATTTTTCTCAATCGAATCTTTTCGCCAGATCTTTGTGCAGGCATGTTTGGCATAATTTAATCATAACTGAAAGATAAACTTTATATCAGTTGCTTATTATTATATTTGGATCAATTTTTCTTTTCCATACTCAATCCATTAATTTTTAATCATTAAATTAATCTGTCATAGCGAAATAATATAGCTTTGTAACTTTATATAGCAATAATTCTTCCAAATTTATTGCTCATTCTTTTGCATGGCTGTCTTTTGCTAACCATCTTTTTTTTTCTTTCTTTTTTTCGTTTTTTTGACACATAAATTGTTTTGATCAAGTTTTTTAAAAACAAAACGGTGAATTCTTTTCAACTGACATGACATTTCAATTATTTCCATACTATTTTACAATGCTTTAAAATAACCAAGTTGTAATATTTTCCGTTTATTAATATATTTTGAAATTTTCAGGTAGCAGTAGAATTCCAATGGCTGATTTGTTAACAGCTGCAACAATGCATCGTGGTCCAATGTCGAAACAATTTGATTGTGAATCAGGCGATATATCAAATTTACGACCTCGTGTAATTCTCAAATTTGTTGTACAATTATTCTATTGAATCCAATAAATTGTTTCGACATATCTGTTTATTTAATACTTTATGAATATCACTGGTCGCCTTTTTCGGTTTCATTAATATATATTTTTGTTTCATAAATGTTGAAGTCAATGATTTTAAAAATGGAAAGGAAAGCCATGTAAAAAGTTTATAGTTTGATTTTGATTATTCAGAAATTTTATTCGATTTAAACCAAATTCCATGACCATTATGGATGTAAGAAAAAATATGGAAGGAAAAGCGAAGAGGACGAAAGTGAAAACAGTACATGGACCAGTTATTGCATGTTATTTGCGTATTATGATTGTAAATCAGTTCAGAAGTTTATCTGATTGAAAGGTGATATAGTTTAGACATGGTACCTGGATGGCCTCTAGTAACAGTTGGTGCAATTGTAGCTTTATTTATGGCATTTGCTTTACATCATATTGAAGAAGGACATGTTGGTGTATATTATCGAGTATGTTATCTGAATTTTGCAATTAATGAATTTTTGGTATTAAACTGAAATTTGTTTTTCTCTTTAAATTTTATCAAAATATTTCTATTAATCATTTTTATCGATTTTGTTTTCTTTGTTTTCAAATATAAGTTTTTTTATGCATTTGATCATTGAAGGGTGGCGCGCTATTAAGTCGTGTCAGTCAACCAGGATATCATCTGATGTTTCCGTTCTTCACAACATATAAATCAGTTCAGGTTACCTTACAAACGGATGAAGCTAAAAATGTACCTTGTGGAACAAGGTAACTCTTATGTTCTTTTTTTTTTTTTTTTTTTTTTTTATCTAGTGAAGTTGTAATATTAACAAATTAAACATGAATAGAATATACTTATGAATTCATAGAATGGCAAATGGTATTTGTCGTAAAAACGACACATTTAAATTACATTCAAATCCTAATATTTTTTGCCAGATGCATGATGAGTCAATCACAAAATATTATTGCATATGTAATTAATCTATACTATTATACTAATTACTTTCCCTTTTCTCACACAACAAAAAAAAAACTAATCTTGTTACCAATCTTTGTTTTCCGGTTGTCAGTTTAATTCCCTACATAAACTAACCAACTTTCTCCACTAACTATTATTTCGTTCTATGTTTTTGGGTGTTTTTGATAATATTTTAATGTTTTACAATTATATTTATTCGTTACTTTGATAATATTTTAGTGTTTTACAATGATATTATACTTATCCGTTGCGCGTTGTTATAATGTAGATTTTGTGTTAATTTTTAATGTTGATTTGTTTGTTTAATTACCCAAGTTTGAGCTCAGCAAAATAAAATATCTGGCAGTCAATAAATTCCACGACAATATTCTCGAAAACTAATCATTATGTTTGGTTGTGAATAGATTAGTGTTATTGTTGCTTTTTTCTTGTACAGTAATATGTTGGTCAATTCATTAATTTTTCATGTTCAACAAGATCTTTTGCTTGAACTTTTATTTTAGTGGTGGTGTTATGATATATTTTGATCGAATTGAAGTTGTAAATATTTTATCATCATCAAGCGGTAAAGGATTTTTTTCTGTTTTTTCATTACTTTTTAGTGGATTAATTTAGGAGCGCCCCCTGGAATTATGACTTTTTTTGATACTAGTTTTGAGTATGAACAGTGAATATATTTATATATTTTTTCTTGTTTTCTATTGCAAATTCAATTTTGCATTTACAGTTTATGATATTGTGAAAAATTATACGGTAGACTACGATAGGCCATTAATATTCAACAAAGTTCACCATGAGGTGAATCAATTTTGCAGTAGTCATACACTTCAAGAAGTTTATATTGATCTGTTTGGTATGTTTCCTAACTAATTAGTATTATTTTTATTGATATCTTTTAGTATTTTTCTTGTTTTCTTTTTATGCTATGCACTGAATGGTCGGATATGATCAGATCATATGTCGTACAATTTGAGCTGCTAATTTTTATTCAGATCAAATTGATGAAAATTTGAAAACGGCTTTACAAAAGGATTTAATAAGGATGGCTCCAGGTCTTTCTGTGCAAGCAGTCCGAGTAACAAAACCTAAAATACCAGAATCAATACGACAAAATTATGAGCAAATGTATGCTTTTTTTCAATTTTGCTCACACATTGCAAAATAGTCATCATCAGAAATGGAGTAGTTAGCATCGTAAGTTCTATATCGTATAAATTGATAATATCTGATATATCTTAATCATTACTAAGTGATGAATATAACAAAAAGTCATCGTTTTATTTTTGTTGTTTATTTTCATTAAGTTAAATTGTGATTGCTTTAGGGAAGCAGAAAAAACAAAACTTCTTGTAGCTATACAGCATCAAAAGGTGGTTGAGAAAGAAGCTGAAACGGAACGCAAAAAAGCTGTTATAGGTGAATCTTAGATTGTTTTATTCGTTATTTTATTATTTTGTATATTCGTTATTTCTTTATTTTATTCGTTATAATTAATTGTTTCCATTTGTGGTGAAATTATTTTTATCGTGCATTTTTTTGCCGTGTTTTTGGAGCTGTATTAATTTTTAAATGGTTGAATTCAAAATTCCTTGAATGATATTGTTTATCATTCAGTGATATGATTTAATGTGATTGATCTCATCTATTTCACTCTATAACATTGCAAAATATAATTTATTTTTAGCCTCAAAAACAAATAAGGTGTAAGATATTTTTGATTAAAAAAGACATCATGGTTAGAAAAAAAGTATCAATTAGAAGTTTGTATATATGTAAGTCTTAAATGAATATAGTTAATTTTCTGAAAAATTTTGAACTTGTTACTCAAAATTGTAGAAGCTGAAAAAGCTGCGCAAGTAGCAGCTATTCATTATGAACAACATATAGCCGAAAAAGAAGCTCAAAAAAGAATTTCTCAGTTGGAAGGTATGGTTTTCGCTGTATCCATTTCACTTATATCATCATTTGAATGTTGTTTGCTTTATTTCAGTTGAATTTAAATTGCTTCAAAATTTCAGATGAAAGTCATATAGCCCGAGCGACTGCTCGTGCGGATGCTGAATTTTATTCGAGGATGAAACAGGCAGAGGGTAATCAGTTGCTATTAACCAAGTATGTATAAGCGATTCATTAAAATGTTCCATATAAATTCATAACTAAAAAAAAATAGATGTTGTAAATTTGGAAATAAATACGACACAAATTTTTGAAGAATGTTACTGTTCTTATGGCTCTTATTTTTCATCTTCATGGATCTTCTGGTAATCGTTATTGTTATAAATTTAATATATGTAAATTTTTGAAATATAACAATTTTTCCTTTTAGAGAATTCTTGGAATTGAAAAAAATTGAAGCAATTGCAATGAATAACAAAATATATTACGGTTCACAAATACCAAATGTATTTTTGGATATTGATTTTCCATCAATGCAAAAGCAATCAGAAAATTAAAAACATCTGTTATATGAGATTCATTATCATAATTTAATTTTTGCAAGTTGTTGTTTGTTTTCTCACTTTCTAATTGTTCTTTGTAGTTTAATACAACATAACCGTATTGAATTTATTTGATATGTTTGAAATTCTTCAGAATTTATGAATTTCACAATGATAAAAGGAATTATATGTTTAAATTATTATTGGTTAAGAATGAACCTATTTTAATGTTGTTGAATTTAATGGAGCAAAATTTAAGTATCATTAGTTCCTTACGATATTTTAGCGAATTCGATTAATTTATTCTACTACTACTACTACTACTGCTGTAACGTACACGTATTATTCGTTTTATAGAAGTGATTAACAAATTTTAATTTCTTTCACATACCTATTTCGTTTTTATTCTTTTGGTTTATAGTGCTGAAATTTTATATTTTATCTATTATTAAAAGATATAGAGAAGGAATCGGTAAAAGAATGTTAATAGAAAAGAAAAGTTTTTGAAATTTTTGAGATATTTATAAATCTTAGATGCGATTTTGCAAATCTGTTTTTTTTTTCTTTTTTTTTGCTAAATTTATTGTAATATTTAAAAAATCATCATAATTCTGAATATTTTATGGATGGAAAACAAATATTACAGTCTATTTTGATTTTCTTTATCTTTCTCTTATTATCTCATTTGTTTGATTATGTAAGTTGTATATATTTTTTTAATTATCACTGTTGATGTTACAAGAAGAAAAAGAAAAGAAATCATCATAAAATGTAATAAAAATACTCCAAGACAGTTAACTGTATCTCATGTTTAATTGTATTGCAAGTGATTCATTTAGAAAATAAAATGAATAATTGAAATGATGAATTCAATTATATTGAAGTATACTACTGATCTGCGTTTTCTTTTGAACAAAATTTATTAACGAAGGGAATGCATAAAACCTCATAAACCTATTTTCTAAATTCGATAGTACATATGCGGCGGTATATGTTATTCCTACAGCTCAAATGTATAAGACTGCTTATTAATATCCCTTTGTAAATTTTCATGTGAAAAAAAAAAAAAAAAACTTCTCAAAATTTTAAGGTATTTAAAGCAGCATTAAATCAATTGGTTTGTTTATATTTGCTTATGAAAAAATTCGTCATTTTTTTTTTTTTTTTTTTTTTTTTCTTTGAATGAATGTCTCAAAACTTCAGGAATATTTGGTCTACTAACATGCTATTATTATTATATTTGTAAATTAAACAAACAAAAGTATATAAACTTAAATACCTGAAATTAGATGATCCGGAAAAAAGACTAATTTTATGCAGTGAAAAATCGGGAGATTAGACGTATATGCAAGAGTGATTACAAGATTGAATATGCCTATAAATCTTTACAAAAATTATTGCGCATCCTCAATGGATGAGAATATGCTTATGTCATAGTGACGAATTATACAATCTCAATAAATGTCTGAATTAATTTCATCGGAAATTGTCTTATTCCTGGCGAATTGTCCATACAAACTTTCTGATCAAATTTCATTACTTTCAATTTTGAAACTTTAAATGATTTATAACACTATAACAGATAGATAAAAGTGAAATCTTTTCTTTTTTACGTTTGAAGTTATTTTATTTTTCATTTTCATCACCATTTAATGCAAATTATACCACATTAAATTTTCACATTATTTTATTATTCCAAAATTTTAAACTTTTATCAAAATTAAGGGATAGAAATATTATCATTTTCATATGATTTATGATATCAGAGATCACAGATACATTATTGTTCTACAAGAAAACAAATGTACTATTGCAACAAGGATAAAATCATTTAAAAATTTTTAAACAGTAATTTTGAATGAAAAATATATTTAAATATACGCATTTGGATTTCATGTATCATTTTCAGTAAGTGTTAATAATTTCATATCATTAATATCATTTAATGAATACAACTAGATTGAATTATTGAATTATTTGATCTGAAAAAAAAAATGAAATCTTTGAATGAAAGAAAAAAAAATAAAACATGAAATGATTGGATTGCGTGAGTGAATTTAATTTTTAATATTTCTTGAAATAATCTAATTATAATCAACCAAACAAGATATTTAAATAAATTTAAAAAAATTTTTATATTTTACATTGGTTCATTCATTCTAATTTAATTATTTAATAACTTCTTTTTCGTTATAATAATGACTTGGTAAACAATAAATAACTAGTTAAAAATGTAAAATGAAGATTATTAACAAAGGCAAATTAGCATGAATGACTGGTAAACTTAAATGGTTTACTATTTTATTAGTGTGCAATTTCTCTTCGTGGTCACTAGTCATCCAATCATACTATTTGCTAACCAATGAAGTGGACAGGTTTGCTGCAAAAGTAAACGGAGCTAATACTATTTCTATACCTAAATCATATTTACTTACAATATAATCGTTTTCTTTCTTGAATATTGACTAATCTGATATATTTGACTAAATTTTTGATTCTCAAAGAATATTTAAGATCGGCGAAAAGTTGTATCATTCATATTAATAATTTCGCTACTTTATTATAGTACTTTCTTCATTTTTCTCATCTCTATCCAATAATTACCCATCGTCAAGAGCTGCTGAATGGACTTTAGCCATAGATTTTTACCTATTTTTCAGAGTAATCATCGCATTAAGGGCCAGTCAATATTGCTTTATAAACTGTTTAATCGATCAATAGAAATTCAAATGTAGCTAAATACTAATATTCTACATGCTTATAATTTATTCGTAAAAGTTAAATGTTTGGATAACTTTCTTAATTCCCTTCTTTCTCCCGTCTTTTTTTTTTTTTTTTGCGATCACATTTTAAGTATTAAAACTTGCATGTAAAATATGCCAAATTAATTTTTTTTTTTTGAAAAAATTTTTCTAGCCATCGATGAATTTATCATCTGCTGCGAAATTATTGCGCTAGTAAACACTGTAATTCTGTCCTCTATTTTTAGAAAGAGGGAAAGAGACAGAAACAGGAGAAGAGAGAAAGGGGGAGAAAAAAAAAACGTATTTAGAAAATTTCCTAAGTCTTCCTTACAATTAGTTATTTCATTTGTTTCGCCTATATATGTATTTTTATAAATAAGATTTAAATGATAAATCAAATTTATTATTTATTCCTCTCTTTTTCCTTGAAATTGTTTGGCAAATTTAAAAATTCTTTAAAATCTTTAATATTCTCACAATCAAAAAAAAAATATATTAAATTATTGTAGAAAGATGAGAGTGTTTTACCAATGGAAGAGGTCATTTAATTAGGCGAGCAATACACAAACAAACGCCCACACACCCACACCTATGCAAACATACTTATCAATGTGATGTATGTATATATACAGTATGTGTTTATGTGTGTGCATGCATGAACGGATGTAATTGCGTGTATTGTTTTTAAAATCTTTCTTTTTCCCATTTGAATATCATTGAATTAATTCATTGGAATGCAAAAAGGCATAGTAAAGTAATTTATATTAAATCAGAAAATCATGTTTGCTGGATGTTACTGTTTATTATTATTATTAATGAAAGATATCGGCAAAAGTTATTTAACTGGTTTCACTGTATTCATCATGGACATCAGTTTCGCTGATATTAGTTTTCATTTCATATCAGTTTACAGCAATTTTCAATTTCCATTACTGATACTTTCTTTATTAATTTATCAATATTTTTCTTTTTTTTTTTTTTCATTTCAGTTAGAAAAATAATATTTGAATAAAAATGCTAATGTCAGTTTACTTGTTTTGCTTTCATTTAATAGTCTGTTTAATTCAATTTCTCCATCTTTACTATATTTCACAAATATGTGACAGTTTATCGCCATATTATAAATTCTTTTAGGAGCAAAAAAGAAAAAGAAAACAAAAAGTGATTAATCAATATTTGAATTATTTGGTAAAAGTTATCACAAACAAAATGTTTTATTGTTTTCACTTAGATTCACCTTTAATGTCTCTTTTTTCCACTCATTTTGCTAGTATATTATCTTTTAAAATGCTGCAGGAAAGTAGAAAAACCTCAGAAGAAAACTGTAATAACTGCAGTAGGAACTGGGAACTACTTTGTATTTGGATAATTCAGTTATTTAACTAATTAATTCAAAATAATTAATTCACACAGAAAATCCAATTTAAATATTCCATTACATCTGTTAAGTCTTTTGGAATGTTTAACATATGCTATGATAATAATATTAATTTTGAGTTTTTCCGAAAATTATTCAGGAAACAAATGAGATAAGTGTTTTAAGATACAAAAAGAGAAATTTGTAGAAGACTGATAGGCAGAAGAAAAGTGAAAAAAAAAAATGAGATGTAAACTCAAAAAAAGGTTCATGTAATTTAAAAATATAACATAAAGATTGTTCAAAAACTTGAATTTTGTTCGAATATTGTCAATTTAAATTTGAATTTTTTTCATGAGTATGCAAAATAATAAAATTAATGTGACACTTTCAAAAAAAGGAAAAAAAAATAGAAGAAAAAATTCATAACGGTTTTAAGATACGTATTTCAGCAAAATCCGTACTCGATCCTTAAATTTGATAGAAAATGATAGCAATCGTTATCATTTAAAATATATAATAATAATAATAATTATTATTATTGAAATGATTTGTTGCAGTAATTAAAAAATCAAAATAAAAAAGATGAAAATTTTCTTCTTTTTGTTAGAAAGAATGAATGGCACAGAAGTAATTAGTTAATAAACGTATAGAAACTAAATTAACAATTGAAAAAGAATATCAAAATGTGACAGTGATAGGGCCATTTGATATGCAGTATTTACCATTCGTATATATATCATTATTGTAAGGTAATCAACCATTTTATTGAATGATATATAACTGATCAACTAACTAATGGGATGATGAGAATGAAAATTTTATGTATGTGTGATGATAAAGTGAAAGTATTAGCTTGTAATTTTAATATTTGAAATAGATGGAAATGAAAAGAAAATGATATAAAAGATAAAAAAAGATAAGAAGAGAGGAAAAGATGGTAAGAAAAGATGATGATGAATTAGGATAAATTGATATATTTATACCTATCTCTGGTAATGACTGTTGTGAGAATTTTAATGGAAGACAAGATGGAACATTCTCTCATTTAATTTGAAGGTTGAAATGAAGCAAATGGAAGGTCAAATTAATGAGGTCAACTGGACTATTTCTCTCATCTTCTTCTTGCCCTGATTGCAAAATCCGTAAGACAGCCTGAACAACTCAACGGATAGAGCGCCTAGCGACATTGACGCCCCATTATTTATTGCATTGGGTGGTGTATGTGCACGAGTACGCTTCAACCATCTATTATCATCATTATTATCAACCATGATAATTTTCCAACAATATCATTTGTTCGTAACACCACAAAAACAACGATTACGATTATCATTATCATTAATATTGCTATTATTACTACAACAAAATGTTGTAACTGCAACAATTTTTACGGATAATAATACTACTACCATTACTGATACTGCTGTTTCAATATCATCGATAATTAGTGCTACAATTATCAGTACTACTACAACAACAATAACTACTACTACTGCTACTATTACTATTACTACTCAACAAGTTAGAATTTTAAAAAATTAAATGGAAAAAAAATCATCTCTTCTTTCACCTTTCTTTTGCATTAATATAAATAAATTATAAAACTGTGTTGTTAATTTGGAATTTTGTTTAAAAATTTTCAGGAAAATGGTTTGAAAAATGTGACTGATGCAAAATATACAGTATCAGATATTGGTTTAGAATGTGCACAAGGATGGGAAAAGTGCAGATCAAAATGCTTTCGGGTGTATACGATTGAACGATCATGGCCACAAGCATTATTATTTTGTTCTAGGTAAAATTAAATGTATTAATTAATTATTCGACTAATTAATACCTTCTTTAGATTACTTGAAAATTTTTAATATTATTCTTCATACTATTGCCTTAATGTTATTATTATTATTGTTATATATTATTGTTACTACTACCATTATTATAATTATCATTATCATTATTATTATTACCTATTATTATTACAGTTATCATTATTGACACGAGAATTCTGCGAAATTAACTCTAAAAACCTTGCTTTTGCTTTTTCCACTCAGTTTCTAAATTTTTTAATTAATCATAATTTTGACGGATACATTTTCAATGAAAAATGCATAATTGTTATATTAATTGATAATTGTATCATATATTGTTACCACAATTCAACATTCTTGTTTTTTAGTCAAAAAATTTAAAAGTTCCTAAACAAAAAATTATATCAAAACTTTTGATAAATATTAGACATGAATTTTTTTTCAATTTAGTTTTAATAAGAAAATTTAATTTTTCTTTAATAATTTCCCTATTTTTGAATAATTACATATTTTTGCTTCAAAAAAAAAAACTAATCAATTTTTGCAGATTTGTTTAATTTCTATGATTTATTTTATTTCCAAAATTTCAAATAATATTATGCTAATAAGATATGATGTTGCATTTTTTGTCAGAAATATTTTCATTATTTTATTACATAATTAGGTATGGAAGTCAACTTGCTCGCATCGAATCATTCGGCGAAAATAGCTTTTTACATCGTTTAGTCAATCGGCAACAAAAAAATCTTCCAATAAATCGTAACGAATTTTGGATTGGTATGCAAAATTAACACTTCTTCAAGAAATAATTGATAATTAAAAATTTAATTAAAATCATTTTGTTAAAGGTGTTGTTGCACAACAAACGGAAGATGAAAATGCATTTTTTTTATGGTCTGATGGTACCGTAATATCACGTTATGTTGGTTTTTGGAATGATGGACAACCGGATTACAGAACTGGGACTTGTGCAAAAGTATTCGTATAATTTTATTAAACTAAAAAAAAATTATTTTATAATAATGTAAAAAAATGTCACACATTGATAAATTTAAATTTTAATTAGTCGATCTAGTATTTAAATTTATGTTTTATTCCTTTTCTTTTTTTTTTTTTTTTTTTTTTTTTTTTTTTGCAAAATTTGAGTCATATAAATTTTGAATAAATTGAAGTCTTAAAAAAAAAAAAAAAAAACGAAACAAAGTGAAAAGAAAGGAAAGAGAAGTAAAATGAAGCGAAATGATAGAAATGATAAAATTAGATGGTGTTAAAAAAAAAAGAAAATTTTATCACATTATCACTTAAAATGATATCTTTTTTTATATAATTAAGAAATAAAAATATAGTGTTTATTACTTATTGTTTATTGTTTTTTGTTAAAATATATTAATGATCGATAACGATTTTAATCACTTATTTTATTAAATGATAAAAGAAATAAGTGTTAAAATATGATGAAAATTTTATTTTGTTTAAATTTTGATAATAATATGATATGATAGTGATCGTAACATATATATGTAAATTTATAGGTGTCGATCACAACAACTAACGAACTACGTTGGAGTTTAGAAATGTGCAATACACTATTACCATTTATATGCGTATTACCTGCATGTATAAAAGGTAAGTTAAATATAAATAATATTAATGACAAAATATTAGTGAATAATAAATATTTAAAAGAATATCATTAGTAGTAATAGTACATATGAATGAATAGTTGTAAATTTTGTTAAATAGAAATAAAATAAAAGATGAGATAAGATGTGAAAAGATAGCGGGGTACTTAAACGACCTTGGCATCGATCAATTCGTTGTACCAATCACCGATTAAAATAATAAAATGAAATGCAGTAAGCAAACGAAAATTTCATCGTCATCACTCTTATTACAAAAATTAATTAACATTTTTATAGAAAGGAAAAAAAGAAATTTTCACAATTTCTGTTTGATGTTACTATAATTTTTTTTCTTTGAAATAATATTTTTTTTAAATAAAAAAAGAAAAAAAGAAGAAATTTCGTAATACCTGTTTATCTGTATTATATCTTCAGAAATAGATTATTAAAAATAAAAAAACAATGAGAATATTTATGTATAATTATAATTGCATTATTTTTTCTCTTAAAATTTGGTTAGTTTTTTTTTTTTTTTTTTTTTTTTTTTAATTTTTATTTATTGTAATAAAAAAATTTTTTAAAAAAAGATAATTTTAAAAATTTATTTTATACATATGGTGGATGGGAATTTTTAAAATTCTGACAGATTAAAAATTTTATTTAAATTTCTCTTTTTTTAAGGCTATAATATTCAACTGATTTTTTTGCGGCAAATTTTTTAAGAGATAAAAGACTTTAATAGTATTGGGCTAAGGAAAAAACATTAAGAAAGAGAGAAGACAAAAATGACATTAATAACATTTATCAGTTTCAATACATTTACTGATATTGCATATCTACTTAGAAATACAAAATTTTCTCGTAAAACTAACTAATAAACTAACATTATGTTCAATATTAAAAAAATATGTGTTAACAATTATTGAAATGATTTGAAAACGCAATAATTAATTTGATTAGCATATTTGTTTGAATTTTATTAAATTGTTAAAAATTTCAATTAATAAGGCCTTCTTTATTTAGTTTAAGCAAAATAATTTTGTAAAAAATTCACAAAAGAGAAAAACAAAAAATAGTAATTACTATTAATCAAATTTATTTATTTATTTTTTGTTTCAGGTTCATTTTTTTGTCAAAATGGCAAATGTGTACCACATTCAGCTCATTGTGATGGTATTAATGATTGCGGTGATTACAGTGATGAATTCAATTGTCCAGGTAAAGATTTTATTCACTATTACCTGTTTCACATGCAGTTTAAAATAGTCAAATTAATCAAAAATCTTTAGTTTAAGCAACCTTGAATTTTTAAATGGAGTTTTTCGTTTTTTTCTTTTCTTTTAATTTTTTTTTTCTTGGTTTCTCTTTTCTTTGCTATATTATGCTAAATATTCTATATATAAATTTTATGTATTAGCTGTTATAAATGTTATGTAAAAATTTTATTTGATATTATTCAAAAATTCAATTTATTCTCTTCAATATTATTTATTAATTTATTTAATATTAATCATTAGTATTCACTTACTATTCGCTAATAATTATTCATTAATATTCAAAATCATTTTTTTACATTGTTTTATTATAAATCTATTTAATGTAATTCATTAATAAATATTTAAAAATATCAAACTTTGATCAATTTATTCTATTTAATTTTATTAAAATCCGATTACTTGTATAAATTAGAATCGACCTATTATAATTCATTAATGAATATTTAAAAGTATGAAACTTTTTTTCCTTTTATTCTTTTCCTGTTTTATATATATATATATATATCTTTTTAATATATCATTTACTAAAAATTTAAAATTACTTGAAATTCATCAACAAATGAAGAAAAATTGGATTTTCATATTTATTAATAATAAATCACGATAAAATGTAGCAAATTTTTTATATTATAGCATCACCAAAAGTGATCACATGTTTGAAATATGAAAAAGGTGAATCAGGTAAAATACAATCACCAAATTTTCCATCGCCATATAATGCCAATGCGAATTGTCGTTGGGTTGTTGAAGGACCAATCAATTCACGAATTTATGTATGTTATTAATAAATTCGATATGAATAATTCTCTTGAATTTATCCTTTTCTTTTTCTTTTAATAAAATAACTTTTTTTGAAACAAAATTTAATAAATAAAAAATAATTATTTTTTTCTTATAATGAAATATTATAGTTATTACTAATTCATTTCACTATACATTTTTATATGCTTTGTAATTAATAATAGTACAACAAACGAAAAAAAATTTCTTTTGATATAAAAAATGTAAAATTGATTATATGAATGTAACCACATAAAGAGTTTTGTTGTATTTGAAAATAAATTTCCCATAAAATGTAAAATAATTTAAGATATTAAAAAAGAAAAAAAGAAACGCCTCATCTTTTCACTCAATTTATTTTTTTTTTTTTTTTCTACCATTTATACATGAGGAGAAAATAAATAAAGCATTCATGTTAGATTTTATCAAATTCCAGAACATTTTGTTTAAAGGTCGAAATGAAAAAAAAAAAATTAGAAAATAAAGAAGGAAAGAAAGAGAAAAGGGGATAAAAGATTTATCAATTTAATTTGAAAATTAAAATTGTTTTAAAAACAATTATAAATATAATTGAAAATAATTTATGCTAGGCGAATTTTGCTTTTCCCCAATAATAATGAAATTTATAAAATTTGAATTGAAGAGTATAAAAATTAACAGAAAAAAATAATAGAAAATTTTTATGAATCAAATTATTACACAGATAACATTTGATGCATTTGAAACGGAAGAATATGAAGATTTTGTTACAATTTTGGATGGTGGTCCAGCGGAAAATTCATCCGTTGTTATGGCTATACTTTCTGGATCAAAAAAGCCTGAAACATTAATTTCAAGTACCAATGTAATGGTCGTAAGATTTAGCAGTGATACACAAATTCAAGCACGTGGATTTGAAGCAAATTGGCGAGCTAGTAAGATATTATTTATTATTAAATTAAAAAATTTTTTTTTGATTATTTAATTAATTATGACATATTATTTGCATATTTAAAAAAAAAAGAAGAAAGAGAAGAAAGGTCTGTGAAATTTTTAGCAAGCATATCATGTGGTGGTATTTTGAAGGCTCAACCATATGGGCAAATATTTACTAGCCCAGATTATCCAAAAAATTATCCCAGTGGTGTTGAATGCGTGTGGAAAATTGATGCTGATCCAGGACAGCTTATTTCACTTGATGTTTGTTTTCATTAGTGCTAATTTTTAACTTATTTAAGCATAATTTTTAAGAAATTTTTGATGATAATTTAATAAATGTTATCAAATATAAGAAAAGGCTAATAACAGAAGTAATTAATCATAATTTTTAACATTTTTTATGATGATTTTATTAAAATTGAATAATTGTGGATAAATGATATTTATAAAAAAGGTAAGCTTATTAAGCAACTTATATTAACAGGAAAAAAACGTGTTAAAATGCTATTAGGGTCAAAAAAGAAATATTTTGAAAATCTTTGAAGCTTTTAATTAATCAATAGATGATGATATATTTTCTTTTTTCTTTTTTTTTTTTTTAGATTGAAGAACTTGATTTAGAAAGAGCTAATGATTTCTTGCAAATTTACGATGGTGGTACACCGTTAGCACCAATATTAGCACGTTTGACTGGAACATTTTCAAATCCACAATTAATTATTTCAACTCAATCACAATTGTACATTTATTTTTATTCAAACTTTGCCCGAAATGGACGAGGATTTAGTATAACATATAAGCGTGGTACGTTTTCATTTTTATTAAAATTTTTCTTAGCTTTTTCTTTTCGTTTTATTTAAGTTTATATTTAAAAAATAATAATCAAAAAATTATTGAATATTGATGGTAAGCATTATTAGGATGCTCAAATCGTATTCGTCTTGATAAAGGAATTATAACATCACCCGGTTACACTCGAATATCATATCCAAATTCTCAGAGATGCATTTATACTGTAGAATTACCGGATAGAAATTCGGAACAGCCAACAGCATTTGCTATTAATAGTTTTGATGTTGCGGAAGATGATCGTTTAATGGTTTAGTTTAATTTATTTATGCATTATTAATTTGTTATTTCATAACTTAAACATTTCAAATTTGCATATTTTCTTTTTTTGTTAAATACTTGTAAAAAGGAAATTCATCAAATATTTGTAGATGTTTGAAGAGGTTGAAGGTGGTCGTGCTTTACATCCAGGTGATGGTTTTTCGGCAATTTCACGACCACCAAAAAGTATTTTTGCACAGACCGGAATTGTTCAAATTGTTTTCACTACTAATTCAATTAGAAATGGTCTTGGATGGAATATTACTTTCTCTACAAGTAATTTTTTATTTATTTAATATTTTGTTAAAAAAGAAAAACTTTTATATAATTTATTAAAAGTTTGTTTTTTTCTAAAATTAATTAATTGAAAAAAAAATATTGAAATTTTCTAGATTGTCCACCATTACAAACACCAAAACTTGTATCATTGTCAACAAAAGCATCAGCATTTGGCACAAAAGTAACTGCATCATGTCCACGTGGCTATGAATTTCGTACAGGACGTGGACAAATGTTTGATATAACTTGTCAGTTAGGTGGAAAATGGACTGAAGATCATATTCCAGATTGTCAACGTACCTTATACACTAATTATTTGATTCAATTCTCTTTTTTTTTTTTAATTATTAAGAAGTTTTCTAGATTTATCTATTATTTTAAGAAAAAGCTATTTAAAAAAATTTGCCAAAATTAAAATTTAAAATCTATCTCAAAAAAAACTTAAATATAATTATAGCTGTTTATTGTTCGACTGTTCCACAAATTGCTAATGGATTTGCATCATCAGCAACAAATGTTTCATATGGTGGATCAGCAAAGTATACATGTTATGATGGTTTTGATTTTTCTACCGGTAAAGATTCAGGTGAAATTTATTGTACCGATGAAGGACGATGGACATTAACACCATCTTGTAAAGGTAAAATGCATATTCAAAAACAATTTATTTAAAAAAAAAAAAACAAAAAGGAAAAAAGGAGTAATCTAAAATTTGTAGTTATAGTTTTCTCAAAATAATTTTCAATTTTTAAAATTTTTATTTGTTATATTTTTTGTTTTTTATTTTTGATGTCTTTTCTTTTATTTGAAAATGTTAATTTTTAAATATTTTTTTATTTTTTGAATTTTAAAATAATTTTTGATTTTTTTTTTTATAAAAATAAAAGATTTTTTACTTTCATTTTATTTGTTTTTACTCAAAAATTTTTTTAGTAAAACGAAGGACTTTTATTTATTACAAATAATAAATTGCAATTTTTTCGTTTTTCTTAATTTAAATTTTTAATGTTTAAATTTCTAGCAATGACTTGTCCTGCATTGGCACCATTTTTAAATGGTGAAAGAATATTGGAATTTGGTGATGGTACAGGTTACGGTACTGTATTTCGATTTGAATGTACTGCTGGATTTCGACGAATCGGTGCTGCAACACTTCTCTGTCTTTCCACTGGTGAATGGTCATTTGCTCAACCATATTGCAAAAGTTTGTCTTATCATTTGAGCTTTTTTCTCTTCTTTTTTTTTTTTTTGATATGAAAGAAATTAAATTTGAAATTTCATAGTTTTGAGAAACTGATTAAGCAAAAAAAAAATGTTTAAAAATTTGATGTAAAAATCTATTTAATATAAAATTATGGAAGAAATAGATTGAATTAATTACAATTATCACGTCTTATATAATGTTTTTAATTTAATGCTTAATTAAACTTTTATGTATACATTTTTTAATTGTTTTGAATTAATTAATCTCTTTCTTTCTTCCATAATTCTCCCAACAAAAGTGAAAAAAAGAAAAAACTTCGTTAATTTTGGTATAAATAATATTTATTTAATTTTTATTTTACTTTTCAGGTTTTATGATTGTATTAATCAAAATTTTTCCATATTTAATTAAATGATAAAAAAAAATTTTTTTTTTTTGCTCATTTTAGAATTAACATGTACAAATGTACCATTAATAACAAATGGTGTTGTTGTAACGGGTGAACGATTTGAATTTGGTGATTTGGCACGTGTTGAATGTCAACCAGGATTTCGAACTGTTGGAGCTGATTCATTAAAATGTCTTGCAAATCAAACACTTAGTGATGTACCAGAATGTCAGGATATTGATGAATGTGCCGAAGGATCGGCTATTTGTAGCATTCAGAGTACAAAATGTATTAATATGCCGGGTGGTTATCATTGTCAATGTCTTTCCGGATTTCAAGCACAATTATGTAAGATCAAATAATTATTTATATCAATTTGATTAATTATAATTGTATTATGGCAAAATTAGTAAATTGCACTATTATATAGCTTAAAATATTTGATTTCTTTTTCAACTTAAATAATCATAAATGCTTTTTAAAATCTCTTCTTTTGGTACGAAATTATAATTATTATTTTAGCATGTAATACAGCTTCAGTTCTTAATTCACTTTCTGCTGAAGGAAGCAGCGAAATGGATGGTTTTCGTGCTGAAGATTATGCAACAACTGGTAAATTTAAAAAATTTTTCTTTTTCCAGAAATAAGTTAAACATTTGATGTAAAACTAGAATTTAAATTAAATTTTTTTGACAAAAATGAATCTAATCATATTTTGCTAAGTTTAGAATGAAATTTAATAACATTAAATCATTCATCTCTGCATCATTATATATTTTTCTTATTACTAATATTATTACTGACCTAATAAAAATGGTATAGAAGATTTTTTAAAAGAAAAAAAGCAAAGCTAATAATATTAAATAGCTAATGATTTAAATTAAAAGCAAAGTAAATAATATTAAATATTAAACAACTAAAATTCATGACGTTTTCTTTCCAATTTAATAAAAAATAAAATCATTTTTTTTTTTTTTTTTTTTTTTTTGCAAAAAAAATTCATTATTACATTTTTTTAATAATATTAAGCTATTAGCTGCTACAATATAATTTGAATAAATTTTTCTTTTTTGCAAACATTTTAAACAAAATTGATAATTAATTGATTGTTTTTAATTTTTTTATAGGCTGGTGCGCAAATCCTAATGATAGTAATCGAAAAATTACATTTGTTTTTGCTGTACCAAAAGTTATCGAACGAATACGTATTGAAAAAACAACAAATGGTGCATATCCAATTGTTATCAGTTTAAAATATTCAAATCGTACTGGCGTCCCACTAATACCATTTGTTGCTGCTAATATAACCGTAAGTTAATCACAGACAATAAATATTGGAAATGGAATAAAATTTTTATCGTATTTTTTATTTTTGAAAATTTAGTAATGAATTTTTTTTTTAGGTGATTATGAAAAAATTGACCTATTATTGACAGAAATAAACATTACTGTTAAAATTCATACTGAATATATATATGTATAAAACCTTAATTTTTATTCCAGTTTTTTTAAAATTATAACGATTTTTTTTTTTTTGTAACTTAAAATTAAAATTTAGAAATTGATAACACGAAATGTTGCGATTGTTGGTGGTGAGTTACTCGTTTTACCGCAAGCAATAGAAGTTCGCGTATTAGAACTTACAATTGAAGAATTTTTCAATAATGCATGTATGAAATTGGATATTCTTGGCTGCCATAAAACTAATTGTTTTGGTAAAATTTTTTCTTTCTTTTCTTTATACTTTTTTTGTTTTTAGTAAAATTATTAATGCTCAATCAATAAATTAATTTAATTATGGAAAATTGATAAATTATCAACATTTAATCAATAATTTAATCCAGTTATAAAGAATTGGTAAATTATTATAGTTGCAGTATGATTTAATTATAAAAAATTGATAAATTATCAGCATTTAACCAATAATTTAGTCGAATTGCTGCAAAATTGACAATTTATCAAAATTTAGTTGCAATAAATGTTGAAATTTTTTACATAAATTTTACTAAAAAAATAAAAAATCGTTATAGATGTGAACGAATGTGAACAAAATAACGGTAATTGTGAACAAATATGTATCAATTCACAAGGATCATATCGCTGTGCATGTGAAATTGGTTTTGATTTACTTACTGAAGATGGACAGGGTGGTGTTCATATAAAGGTTTAATTTAATTTTTTTTTTTTATAATTTTAAAGAAATAGAAATTAAAATTTTGTATTTATCATTTTTGAGAAGTTTTTTTCTTTTTCTTCTCTTTTTTTTGTTTAATATTTATAAAATTTTTTAATTTTTCTTAAATTTAGGATGGTGAAACAGGTTTAAATGCATTAGATGTTATTCGATATAATCAAACATGTGTGCCACGATTATGTGCTAATTTATCATCGCCAAAAAATGGTTTACTTCTTTCAACTGCGAAAACATTCCATTATCCGATGATTATACAATTTCAATGTGATTTTGCATATCAAGTAAAATATTCATTTCATAAAATTTGATATAATTTAATCTGTCATAATTATTTTAATATAAATAATACAATTCTTTTTTTTAATTTATCATATATAATATAATTATGACAAATTATTATTTATATTATTACTTTTATTTTTTTTTTTTTTCATTTTAATTGAATGAAAATTCATAGATGATGGGTGCAAGCCATTTGAAATGTATGCAAGATGGTAGTTGGAATGGTACAGCACCACTTTGTCTTCGTAAGTCATTAAAATTTTAATTCCGATTCAAAAAATTGGAATCTTTTTTTCTTTTGTTTTTCAAAAGAATGAAATTGAAACCCTAAAATAATTTGATTGAAATTTTTTATTTAACTAAGCAAATTATTTTACGGAAAAGTTACAAAAAATTAATGTAATTCTTTTTACGATATATGTATTATAATTACTGTTAATAACATAATTTGATTTTGCAATATTATTTTTTGTTAATTTAATTTGATTCAGATGAAAAAAATTTTTTTTAAGAATCTAATAAATTATAAATTTTTTTCACTAAGATCATTTTAGCAGCAACATGTCAAGGTGTGCGTAATAATTCTGCAATTGGTTTATTTGTTGCACCTGAAAACAGTACCATTGCATATGGACGTAATGTATCAATTGTTTGTAGTCAACAAAACAGGCCAGGTGGGAATAAATTCATCTGCATATGTTTTACCTTTTAATTTACTTTTTAATATGTAAGCTATTTAATATTGTTGAATTATTTTTTTTTTTTCTTTTTGCTAAAAATTAGTAAAATTTGTTGTAACGAAATGTGGAAAATTGTTCTTTAATTAGTTTCTATAAATTTTTTGAAAATATAATTTAAAAAATAATGTTATAATTTTATTTTAAATAATTATATTTTTCTCTTTTTTTTTGTAGAAAGAATGAAGATAAGAAATTGAAATTTATTTAATGATTAATAATAATTCTTAAGATTATTCGACCAACTAATATATTTTTTACAATATCTTTTTTTTTTTTTCTTTTTCCCTCTCTCTCTCTCTTCTTTTAATTAGCATATATTTTTATTGAAAAAAAAAAAAAAGAAAAAAGAAAATTACAGCAAGTAGTTCATTATTATCGTCATTTCGCCAATGTATTTATGATCCACAAGAAGATGGTCGTGATTACTGGTTATCAGGACCAGAAATTGATTGTCCATTGGTAGACTGTGGACCACCACCATCACTTGCTGGTGCAATTTACGAAGGCGATGACTACTCATACAAAGCTAGAGATTATTTTAATTTAATGTTTTAATATCAATTAAACTTTTTTTCTCGAAAAATAAAGGGGAAAGGAAAATAGAATAGAAAAAAGGAAACTATCTTAAAAATATGATAAATTAAATTTTTATTCATTATTTAATTTTTAATCTTGATTATTTAATTAATAAACTGTTATTTGTAATTTTATGCTTTAAAGAATTAATTAATTATACTATTCAATTACTAGAATACAATTTTTAAAAAAATTTTTTTAAGGTAGGATCAGCATTTACATTCAGTTGTAGACCACCATATAGTTTAATTGGTAAATCAAGTTATGATGATCGAACTATTCGATGTAATGTAGATGGTAATTGGGATCTTGGTGATTTAAGATGTGAAGGTTAGCTTATTTTAAAAATAAATTTGTATTGAAAATTCTTAGTTAGAATGAAATTTTTATTTTTTTTAACTTTTAATTAATCATCTAGATAGCATGAAATAATATATTTTTAATATGCAGGACCAGTTTGTGTTGATCCCGGTTTTCCGGATGATGGACAAATTCAATTAGAATCAGTGGAAGAAGGTGCACAAGCAAAATTTACCTGTAATAGAGCTGGCTATAAGCCATTTCCATCTGATACAATTAATTGCACACTTGGAACAGCATGTGTCTTAGCGGAAGATGTTGGAATTTCATCCGGTTTTATACCGGACGGCGCTTTTGCTGATAATTCTGATTCGACCACCTGGGGTTATGAACCGCATAAGGTAAATAGTGACAAAAAAAAAAAACAACAAAATGTTTCCAGTTTTACGTTATACGTAATGATTTCTCTAAAATTTAAAATACTTTTCGAATTTATCTTACTAAAATGTTATTTATAGGCTCGATTATCATCAACTGGTTGGTGTGGTTCTAAGGATGCATTTATTTTTCTTTCTGTTGATTTACAACGTATTTACACGTTAACAACATTACGTATGGCTGGTGTTGCTGGTAGTGGTCATTTACGTGGTCATATTACTAAAATGCAATTATTTTATAAAGTTCAATATAGTCAAAATTATGATACATATCCAATTGTATGTTATGTTTTTGTTTTCCTTTTTTTTTAAAAAATACAAAATTTTGAAATTTTTTTTAATTTCTAAAATATATGAAAATTTTGATTTTATTGAAATCTTAAAATATATTATGGTGAAATTTGAAAAAAGAAAAAGAAAAATTTACTTGTAGAAAAAATATATGATAAAAATTGTAATATTTTAAATAATTTCTTTTTTTTTTTTTTTAATGGTGATGTTATTTTAAAACTAGGAATTTGAAACACCATCCGGAAATCACAATGCAATGCATCAGTTTGAATTAAATCCACCATTACGTGCACGTTACATTCTTCTTGGTGTCACCGAATATGAACAAAATCCTTGTATTCGTTTTGATATGCAAGGTTGTTTAGCACCACTTTCAATTGCTCATGAAATTCCTTCTCATTTACAGGTTAATTGATTAATTGAATATATGAATCATTTTTTTTTTTGCTTAACTAATTAATTAAAAATTTTTGCATCCCAAATTATTCTTTCATAAATAATTTTATTAATTTTTTCTTTTCTTTTTTAAAATTACTTTTATTATTTATTATATCATTTTCTTTTAATACTTTATTTTAGGTCGGTTGGAATGCATCTGTACCACAGTGTGTCGATAGTGAATCACCAACATTTCATAATTGTCCAACAAATCCAATTTATATTCTAACAGATGATAATGGGCAACTTTTACCAGCTACATATGAAATACCAACTGCAGCTGATAATTCCGGTTCCGTAGCATATATACGTGTAACACCGGATGGTTTTGAACCACCAAAAATGATAACAAATGATATGGATATTATTTACGTAGCATTTGATGATGCTGGTAATGCAGCTGAATGTACTGTACAACTTCGAATACCTGGTAATAATTATTTTAGTAAAAAATTTTTGTTTATCTCTTAAAAAAATTATATTTTAAACAAAATCTTCAAAAAAAAAAAAAAAAAAATTGTTTTCAGGAAAAATTAAATCAAATATTAAAATTTTCGCTTTCTTTATTTTTTTAAAAGATTATATTTTAAAAATTTTCCAAAAGAAAAAAAATTTAGGAAAAGTTAAAGAAAATATTGAATATATAATATAAACAGATATTTATTTTCTCCGTTTTTTCTTTCGTTTTTTTTTTTAGATGCACAACCATTACAAATGAAATATTTGAAATTTAGGAAAAATTAAACAAATATTGAATATATGATATAAATAAATATTTATTTACTTATTTTTTTTAGATACACAACCACCGGTGATGAAATGTCCTGATTCATATATTGTTCCTGCTAATGATGGAGAATTTGAAAAATTGATTAGATTTAATGAAAGTACCGTACATATGGTAATTCAGGATACATCAAATATTACGGATGTAACATTTGAGCCATCTGAGGCTTTACTTACTCTTAGTTCACATGTTACAGTTGAAGTTATTGCTACTGATAGTGCATCAAATCGAAATAAATGCAAATTTCAAGTGTCACTTCAACGTTAGAACTTTATTTTTTTTCAGTTATCAGTAGTTTATCACTTATCATTTAAAAATTTATAATGGAAAAAAGTTAACCAAATATAAATATGCTATGATAGGATTGAATAAAATTTTCCGCTTTTCTTTTTTTTTTAAATTTATGGAAATAATTATGCTCACAACTAAATATTTCTTGCTTGTTTATTTGTTTTTTTTTTTTAATTGGATTATAGCTAAATGTTACTGTGATGATTAATTAATTGAATTATATACTAAATTATATTACAATACATCTTGTATTACTAAACTTATATTCACTCAATAATTAGAGAGCAAAAGTTAAAATTTTAAAGATATAATCTTGTAATTGATAATTAAAAACAAAATAAAAATATTCAAATTCTCTAATCATATTGCATTTGTAAAATCTGCTAATTTTTTTAAAAAAAATTAAAATTATAGCAAAACCATGTTCATCATGGTCATTAATTGGTGAAGAAAATGTTGAAAAAGAATGTCAAATAAAAGGTGCAACGACAATTTGCTCTGCTAAATGTGCTAGAAAATTTACATTTGTTAATGGTAAAAATGGTACACGACAATTTACATGTACCAATGGTATTTGGTCACCATCAAATGTGATACCTGCTTGTGTACCAATTGCATTGGAACCAGCTCGTTATGAATTAACTGTCAGTATTGATTATGCTACTTTAACACCTGTTGGCAATGACTGTTTAAAGGTAATGAAAAAATAATTTAATTTTCTTCGTTTTCTTTTTTTTTCATTTATAAATGTTATTTCAAGAGCAAATTAAATATGAAAATTTTGAAAAAATTTTCCTTAAATTTAAAATTAAAGTTAGAAATTTTTTATCAAAATATGATGAGTAAAAATAAGCAAATTTTTTTGTAACACTTTTCTGCTATTTAGTAAATAACGGAAAAAAATATTAGTTAATAAGAAAAAAGATAGAGCATCGGATTTTGTTCACTGTGATCACTTAACTATAGTTTACTGTTTTATCACACATTTGCAGTAATCAGCTTATCACATATTTGCAGTGATTAGTTTATTACTTTATTAGGCATTTGTGGCATCTTTAGAAATAAAAATCAGCAGTTTAAAGTTATTGACTTATTTTCTATTATTATTATAATTTTAATTTAAAAAATTTTTCTGAAATGTTTTCTTTTAGTTCTTTCTTTTTTCTTTTCTAGTCTTTCATTTATCATACTTTTTTCCTTTTTTTTCTTTTGAACTTATTCAAGATTTAAAATTATCCGATAGAGCCTAAAATTTCTCAATGTTTAAAATTAATATCCAATTTTAGTTTGATTATTCAATGTTTAGAAATAATTTTTAGCATTAAAGAAAAATAATTTTTTAGGGTTATTCGGAATATGTTGGTACATTTTTCAATAACTTAGATGCAACCTTATCACAACGTTGTTCATCATCTATTGAAGTATTTGTACGTTTCTTGGATGTTAAATTTATTAATACAGTAAACGGTGTCACAGCTAATTATACTATTCAAATACTTCCAACTGTTTTACAAAATGTTTTCTATGAATTATGCGGTTTAACATTGCGAACAATTTTTGATTTACGAATACCAGGTAAATAAAATATATTTTTATATATTCTTTTTTTTTAAAAAAATTGTAAAACTTAATTGTAAATTATTAAATCTTCAAAATGTTATTTAACTTTTTTGATTTAACAAAAATATTCCGTTAAAACTTTAGAAATTCGATATTTGAATTTTAATTTTAGTGCTAAAAATTTAAGTCAGCTCTTTTTTGCTTTTTTATTTCAGACTGAAACAAAAAAAAAAAGAAAAAAAAGATTAAAAATAATTTTCGAATATTGTAATTGTTATTTAGAAATGAATGAAAATTTGAAATTTAATAACAAAGTTTTATTTATCACATTTCTGCCTCTTTTGTTCCGTCGTTTCTTCTCTTTCTTCTTTTTTTATTTACTTTCATATTAATAATTTATTCAGTACTGCCAGTGAACTTTCATTTTAATAATTAATCAGCACTTTTATGTTAACTTTTTTACAAAAAAAATTTCGCTAATTCTTTTTTAATTTCGATTCTAATTTTTATTCATCTAAATGTTAACAACTGATCACCATATCTATGTTAATGTTTTTTCTAAAAATTTTTAACTTTTATTCGTTTAGGTGTTACTGTACCTGTTCAAAATCTTCTTTATGTAAATGGTGAAACAATTGCAACACAATCAGTTGGTTGTCCATCAATGAATGCAACAAAAACAGTGGTTGTTCAAGGCTTTGGATGTGCTGATGGTGAAGTATTACGTGAGGGCAATGCCGAAACATTACCTGAATGCTGTAAATTTTAGTATAAAAATTATTATATTTTCCTTTTATTTTATAAATTATCAATTTCATATTCAAGTTAGCACATATTACAAGTTATTTTAAAGAAATAGAAGGAAGGAAGGAAAAAATAACTTTTCATATGCTAAAATTTTTCTTTTTTTTTGTGATTGATAAATATTCATAATTGTTTTTCTTTTGATAATTAGTATTTGAGTAATAGATAACAATTATTTATTATAAATTTAAAATTTCAAAAAAAACTGATTTGAAATTAAAATTGCAAATCTAATTTTGCATAAATAAATAAAATATTTCGTTTTTTTCAGTGCAATGTCCAAAAGGTACAGTTCATATTAATAATACCTGTGAATTATGTCCAGCAGGAAGTTATCAGGATGAAGTAGCTCAAATAACTTGTAAACCATGTCCGGAACAAACTTTTACACAATTTCCTGGATCTCAAACATTTAATGCCTGTCTTCGTATGTTTTTTTTTTTTTTTCTACGGTAATAAATATTCAAATGTTTAATTTAAATTATGTTAAATACGTAAAAAGAAAAAAGTGAAATAATAATGATATTTTTTACTTTTTTATTCTTTATAGCTATCTGTGGAAATGGTATGTATAGTGAAACCGGTTTAATTCCATGTCAGTTATGTCCACGGCATACTTTTGCTGGTCCTCCAATATTTGGTGGTTATAAGCAATGTGAACAATGTCCACAAGTATTATAAATTGAAATTTTTAAAAAGAAAAGTCAATTTATTTAAATATATTTTTAAGGAGTGAAAAAAAATGGTTTTGTATTAAATATATGAAAAATGATAGTTTTAATATTTAAATTTTGAATTTCAATTTTTAACTCTTGCAAATTTTTTTTCAAGCAAATATTACTCTATAAATGGAAAAAAGAAATCAACATTTCCGAATTAATCCAAAAAAGTAAAAGCAAAAGAGCTAATAATGTTGTAACAAATTTATAGGGTTCATATACAGCAAAATTAGGCTCTACTGGTCCATCACAATGTAAACTTCCTTGTCCAGCTGGACATTTCTCGTTGACAGGTTTAGAACCATGCTCACCATGTCCTATTAATTGGTATCAACCTGTACTTGGACAACAAAGGTTATTTAATTTCCAAAAAATAGAAAAAAAAATATTACTCAAATTTTTTCTAATCAAATTTTATATAAGATAAGCATTTAAAAAAAAAAAAAAAAAAGCAAGGAAAAAATGAAAGAAATAATACAATTGCTAAATTTATTTTTATAATTAATTTCTATTTAAAGATTTTTTTAAAAATAATATTCATTATAATTTTTTGGTTTTTTTTCTCTACATTTTATAAGTTAGAAATAATTAATAAAAAATAAATTTAGTAGAAATTAATTTAATAAATTTCATTTAATTTTATTCAAAAAAATCAATCATAGAAATTTCAAATTTTGTATGAATTATGCAAAAAAAGAGAAAGAGAGAGAAAAACGATGATTTCTTAAAAATTTATTACAGATGTATAGAATGTCACAATGATACAATAACACGAGATGTGGGTACAATTGAAGGAACAGATTGTATGCCAGTTGATTGCTCAGCTGTGAAATGTGAAAATAAGGGTACCTGTATGGTAGATAATCATAAAGCACTTTGCTTTTGTCGTCCTGGGTTTGTAAATTAAAATTCAAATTAATTAGAGTTTATCAAAAGTATGCAGGAAGGAATTAAAATTTATAAAGTTGTTAGGAATATTTTTTAGCAATTTTTATCATTACTATTATATCATATAAAAATAATTAAGTATTATTACATCATTGAAATTAATCATTCTTTTTTTGTATGAGATTTCTGATATAAATCATTGTAAATTTTATGTAAATTTAAATGTTAATTAATTAAAATTTATCGGAATAGTCTAGGATGGTTTGAAATTTATAAAATTATTGGAACATTTTCAGCAATTCTTGTCATTATGGTATATCGTATAAAAATTTATATTATTTAAGTTAACCATTAATTAATAAGATTGTTTTTCTTTTGATGAACTTAAGAATATAAATTATTGTAAATTTTATAACTTATTCACGAATTTTAGAGACAATAATTTTTTTCTTATTCCTTTTTTTCTTTTCACACTCAGCATTTGATATTTTGTTTAAAAGTTTGAATATTTAAAATCTCTAAATTATTTTAGATTTTAAATTAATAATTTTTTACATTTTTAGATTTACCGGTAAATATTGTGAAGAACAAATGCCATTATGTAATACACAACCATGTTTTAATGAAGGAATTTGTGAAACAGCAGCTGGTACATTTCGTTGTATATGTGCACAAAGTTTGTTTTAATTTTTTTTTTTGTTTTTGCTTTATTTTTTTTAAATTTAAAAATTTGCAATCAAATTTGCATTATTTTTACTATAATTTGTAAAATTGTTACATTAGCTTCAAGTAGCACAAATTTAATTTTAAATTTAGTTTTGTAAATGTTTATTTAATATATATATGATTGAAGATTATACGGGGAGTAGATGCCAATTTGGTCCTGATGAATGTATCGGAATGAGTTGTCCAAACGGAGGTGTATGTCATGATTTACCTGGATTAGGAACAACAAAGTGTATTTGCAGGTTAAAAAACCATTATTATTTCTTTCTTTATTTTATTTTTTTGGGCATAATACTAAATATGTTTTTCAAAAAGCACTCTTTTATAACAACTAATTTGCATATTATATATTATACTAAATGTTTGTAGAACCGGATTTACTGGTCCGGATTGCTCACAAATTGTTGATCCATGTTTTATGGATAATCCATGCAAACATGGCGCTGATTGTGTACCATTACAATTGGGACGATTTAAATGCAAATGTTTACCGGGATGGACCGGACCAACATGTTCAATCAATATTAGTTGGTCTTTTTTCTTGCTTTTTCTGTCCTTTCTCAATAGTTTAATTAATTAGTTATTTCATAATTAATATTCAATTAATTAAATTACATTAATAATTAATCATTATGCCATATGTATATGGTATATATAAAATTATGATTAATTGCATATTTAATCGTATAATTTTACAAATTTCATTCATACAATTAAATAATTCACAAATATTTCTAATTCTAATTAATAATTTGTTCATTATCACTTTCTTGATTATTTTAGATGATTGCGCAGAAAATCCATGTGCAATGAATGCAACTTGCACCGATCTTGTCAATGATTTTCGTTGTGAATGTCCACCTGGATTTACCGGTAAACGATGCCATGAAAAAATTAACCTTTGTGCACAAAATCCATGCATTAATGGTTTATGTGTTGATATGTTGCATACACAACGTTGTATATGTGAACCGGGTTGGACAGGTGAAATTTGTGATATTAAAATTGATCAATGCGCTTCACATCCATGCTTAAATGGTGCTACATGTAAAGATCAGGTGAAAAAATTTTTATGATTTTTTCTTTTTCTTCTTTTTCTTTCAAATTTTTTTTTAAAATAATTTTGATAATAATAATAGCAGTATATTAGTTTCGATAAATTTCTATTTATTTTTTTAAAAAAGTAGGAAAAGCATATCTGTAAATTTTATCAATATCTTTTGAATAATTGTTCAAGTGTTCTGTTAATGAAATTCATCAAATTAAAATTTGATAGATTTTTTTTGATTATTGTTGATTATTGTTTTTTTTTTTAGAATTATTGAAAAATGTTTTAATCTTTTATTATTTTTATTACTATTATGATTGATTTAGCTATTAAGTTGTACAGTTATTAATATTCTTTTTCCCGGAATTAAAATTCAATTTATTTGATATCTAACTTTTATTTAAATTGGGTAAATTATATTTCAGGCAATAATAACATATTTTAATTTGCTAATTATTATTATTGTTATTATTAGAATTCTTTTTTACAAAATTAAAATTCATTTTATTTTAAATTATACAAATTGGATTTTATGCAATAATAATAGTTTTTAATTTCATACAGATTGATGGATTCATCTGCCAGTGTGCACCGGGATTTCATGGTTTCCTTTGTCAACATATGACCGACCATTGCGCTTCATCACCATGTAGAAATCATGCGACATGTATAAATCAAGGAGCGCAATACTTGTGTGAATGTTCACTAGGTTTTGAAGGTTGGTAAAACAGCATTAACTTATTAAAATTTTTAAATTTTAACTTCTCACTCGAAAAAAAATTCTTTGTGAAGTTAAATTTGAGAATAAATTATGAAAAGTTGGTAATTTGTGATTAAATAAAATGTATGACTTTTTTTCTTTGTTTTGAAAATGAATATAATTTAATAAAATTTACACTTTTTCTTAAAAAAATTTTTTATATTTGCAAAAAAAATTCAATTCATTTTTTTTTTAGGTGCACATTGTGAACATAATAGAAATGAATGTGATTTATTACATAAATGTTCTCAAGAAGGTACTGAACTTTGTGAAGATTTAATAAATGGCTATAAATGTAATTGTCGTCATGGTTATACTGGTGAATTATGTGAGATTCATATTGATCAAGTAATTATAATTATAATACTTTTTTTTGAACTTTTTTCCTTCTTATCTTTTTTCCATATTTATCAATTTTGTAATTTCTAAATTAAATTAAAAAAGAAAAAGAAAGAAAAAATTTTTGGGAGCTTAATTATTTTAATTTCAAGTTTAATTTTAGGACTTTTTTTTCTAAAAAAAAAAATACTATCTTAGTGTGCATCTGAACCATGTCTTAATAATGGTACATGTGTTGATACCGGTTCACAATTTCGATGCGACTGTCCACGAGGTTGGAAAGGTAATCGATGTGAGGAGGAGGATGGATTATGCGCATTAAATCCATGTCATAATGATGCGCATTGTGTTAATCTTGTCGCTGATTATTTTTGTGTTTGTCCGGAAGGTGTTAGCGGTAAAGATTGTGAAATTGCACCAAATCGTTGCTTAGGTGAACCATGTCATAATGGTGGTGTTTGTGGTGATTTTGGTTCACATTTGGAATGCACCTGTCCAAAAGGTATCTATTATAGATAAAAATATTTTATTGAAAATTTTTTTAAAAAAATATATGTTCAAATTATTATGTTTAAATGATAAGATATTATTTAAAAAAAAAGAATAGCACAAGCATTAATAGTTGATTATTAAAAAAAAATTTATTTTCAAATTAAATTTAATTATTGTTTTATTAAAAGATTGTACATTTTATATAGCTATTTGTGCTAAAAATATTTAAAGAAAATATAATATGATAATTATTAAAGTATCAGAATCATATATTTTTTAACTAAATCATTAATTTCCTAACTTATTAAGTAATTTAGACAAAATAAAGTATTTCAAAAAAAAAGGATTAATTTTACAGATTTCATCGGTGTTGGTTGTCAGTATGAATTAGATGCATGTCAAGAAGGTGTATGTCAAAATGATGCTATTTGTGAATTACTTGAAGGTGGTAATTACAGATGTATCTGTGAACCAGGTATAAATTCTACCTGAGTTATTATCTTTCGATTGATAAGTAGACCTTTAAAGTTGACAAGAATATGAATGATAATAAATTTTTAGACTTACGAATTTTTGAAACTAAAGAAAAAAGTTTCTATTTTTTTAAAATGTTAAATATAAATTGGTAATAAGCTTATACTATTAGTATAAATAGCACTAAGATTTTATGACTGTTTAAAATTTTAAAAGTAATCTACTCATTTATTCAGATTAATTGTATTGATTTAATAAAATCATTAAAATTGTGCTAATATTAATATAATATGTGGTAAAAGTCTAGAAAATTTAGAAATTTATAATTTGTAGAATACTAAATTCTATAAATAGAAAGATTTGATTTCAAAAAATCGAAGAAAATTTACAATAACAATTCTTCAATTAAAAAACAACAAATTGGAAATTCTTTTTTTTTTTTTTGACATTTTCAGGATTTACTGGACAAAATTGTGAAACAAATATTAATGATTGTTCACCTTCACCATGTCCTCTTGCAGCAATCTGTATCGATCAGGTATATATTTTAGAGCTTTGAAATTGCTAACTTTTTTCTCTTTTTTTTCGATTTCAAATCGAACAGAAATATATTTTTGAGCTTTCAGATTTTGATTTACCAATGTTCTGTTTTTTTTATTTCTTAATTAATAAATAATAATTGAATTGAAACTGATAAAATTATAGGTTGATGGTTTCTTCTGCCAATGTCCATTTAATATGACTGGTTTAAATTGTGACAAAGTTATTGATGAAGACTATGATTTTCATTTCTATGATCCAATATTATCAGCTGCTGCAGCATTATCAGTTCCTTTCAAATTCACATCATCCGCTTTTACCATTTCACTTTGGGTCAAATTTGACGTACCATTAACACGTGGAACTGTTTTAACCTTATACAGTAGCAGGTTTGATATTTCTATGTATGGAATTAATTACAATTTATTACATAGTTAAATTAAAAATTATTGTTTATTATTTTTTAATTCAACATCATTATCTATTAATTAAATAAAAAAAAAATTTTTTTTTATGGTTAAATTATAAAATTTAATAATATATTTAACAGTTAATTGGTAATAAATTTTTAAATTAAACATTAAATTATATAATTTTATATTATGAATTGTTTTCCGTCTTTGTTTTTCGCGTATTTTTTCTTTTTTCTTTTAAAAATTATTATTTTAAGAGAAAGCAATTATCCATCAAAAATAAGCGAATTATTACGAATATCAGCTGATAATATACATTTAAATCTTTTACACGATGAAACACCATTAAATCTTCATTTTCCTCCAACACAACGATTAAATGATGGAAATTGGAATAACTTGGTGATAACATGGCAATCAATTGGTGGTTCATATTCATTGATTTGGAATGCTGTTCGAATTTATGCTGATATTGGCTATGGTACTGGCAAAATTTTAGACATAAAGTTTGTTTTAATTTTTTTTTTTCGAAAGAAAAGGAAAGTCATTCTTTTTTAATATGAAAAATTTCTATTTTATAAATTAAAGTTTTTCAATAGAAGAATAATTAGAAGAAAGAAGAAAAAAATGAAAGAAAAGGAAAAAATTTTTAAATAATGAGTGTTATACACAATTATAATAATAATCACAATTGTTTTTATCATTTTAATGGTAATTATAGTTGTTTACCATTTTTAGTGCATGGATATCACTTGGTGAACCAATAAATGAATTTTCAAGTGAGCCAAAATTTGTTGGTTCTATAACACGAGTTAATATTTGGAAGCGTGCAATTGATTTTGAAGCTGAAATTCCCTCAATTGTTCATCAATGTCAACAGCAACAGGTGGTAAAATTTATTAGTTTATTCAAAATTTTTATCCTTATAATGTATTGATAATTTAAAGAGCTTTATCAATCATAGCGACAATTAATAATAATAGTATTAGTAATAATAATAATTAATTATAACGCTAATAATTATAATGCCAGTGCTAGTAGTTAATAATAATAATAATAATAATAATAATAATAATAATAATAATAATAATAATAATAATAAATAATAAATAATAAATAATAAATAATAAATAATAAATAATAAATAATAAATAATAAATAATAAATAATAAATAATAAATAATAAATAATAAATAATAAATAATAAATAATAAATAATAAATAATAAATAATAAATAATAAATAATAAATAATAAATAATAAATAATAAATAATAAATAATAAATAATAAATAATAAATAATAAATAATAAATAATAAATAATAAATAATAAATAATAAATAATAAATAATAAATAATAAAAATAAATAATAAATAGTAAATAATAAATAATAAATAATAAATAATAAATAATAAATAATAATAACAGTCATAATAATAATATGACATATGATAATAATTTTAACATTTACTTGAAATTATTGCTGTAGGTTATCTATGATGACCTTACTTTGCGTTTTGCTGGTTATACGCGACTTTCTGGAAAAGTTGAAAAAGTTGTTAGGAGTACCTGTGGACGAGATTATACGCAACAACCTGCAAAGAAAATAGATATTTTTGGTTGTCCATCAGATATTTTTGTTGTCTCATATCAAAAAGAGGTTAACATTATCAACATGTAGCATTTTTGTAAAAACCTAAAAATTTCAATTTATTATTCAAATTATTTCGAATTTCATATGAAATTTTGAAATTTTACTAGGATTTCAATTTTAAGCAAATATTGCTTCAGTTCTATCAAATTTTATAAATTTTGTGAAAGCTTTTACATTATAGGTAAATATCACATGGCAAGAGCCAGTATTTACATCAGTGCATGGTTATGTTGAAGTTAAAAGAAATTTGAAACCGGGACAAGTATTTACATGGGGTGAATATCTTGTCGTTTATCTTGCTAAAGATAATTATTCCATAGCTGAATGCATCTTTAAGGTTAATTTATTTAAATTTTAAACTATTTCAATTGTATTAATTTGATAAATGATTAATTTATTTTAAAATTTCAGAAATACAAAAACAATACTCATATAAGAAAAAACCATAAAATTAAATTATCATTATTAGATTTGATTAATTATTTAATATTTAAAAAAATGTTTTAATTTATTTCATTTTTAGATCTATGTATCGCGTGAATTTTGCCCTACATTACAAGATCCATTTCATGGCGTTCAGGCATGTGAATCATGGGGACCACAATTACGTTATAAAGCATGCTCAGTTGAATGTGAAAATGGTTATGAATTTAGCATTGAACCACCTGTTTTTTACACCTGTTCTTCAGATGGTCAATGGAGACCACGTCCAATCAATGCATATACATTTCGTTATCCCCAATGTACCAAGTAAATTAGTTAGCTGTAATTATAAATTTTATTTTCTTTATTTCTTTTTTTTTTCTTGTTTAAATTTATAATTTCTAAGTTTTCGAAAATTAATTGAAGTGTTTTTTTTATGCTAAAATTATTTCATTTTTTTTCATTTTATTCATTTTTTATTCATTTTTTAATAATTTATATATTTTATTTATTTCCTTTCTTTTTTTCCATTTAAATTTATAATTTCTAAATTATCAAAAATCAATTTAAATGTTTTTTTTTTTTTTTATTATTATGTTGAAATTATCATTCATCTTTTAATAATTTGCTTTATTTTCTTTTTTTTTTAAGAGCACATCAAGCTATACGTGTTGCTGAAGTATCCATTAATTATCCTACCGTATCAATATGTAACGCAGCGGGTCGAAATACATTAGCTGAAAAACTTTCTCAACGAATTGAATTATTGAATAGTAAATGGAACATTTATTCAACTAGGTTTATTTTTTTTTCTTTCAACATTTTTGTCTTAACCATAAATTTTCCAAATTTTAATTTAGTTTTAATTTTTTGTTACACTTTTTTCACAAATATATTTGGATTATAATAACTAGAAAAAATTTTTATAATAAAATATGTACTAAATTTTACATTATCATTCAAAAATGCTAATTTCAGTAACATAAGTGATCATTCAGTATTTAATATTTCGGTGCAATGTTTTGCCGGAAATGAAGAAACTACCGTAACAGCAATTGATATGACTGTAAGATTACGTCGTGAAGCGCAAAATTTTTTCAATGTTAAAATTTCCATACCAATTACAAAGTAATTAATTTTTTAATAGGAAGAATTAATTTAAATTAGTTTAAATTCTATTAAAAAATAACAATAATCAAGATTTGACTGGATTTTATTAGAAAATAGATAAAAATTTATTTAATTATTTCTTTCTTTTTGTAATTTATGCTACTTTTAGTGATATTTTGGAGAACAGTAAAACAGGACAACGAGCAAAAGTATCAGATGTATTAGAGAATGAAATTTTACTGGAAGATATATTTGGTTTGGAGCAAGTAATTATTATTATGAAATTAAAAACTATTTGATTGTGAGATTAATTATTGATTAGCACATAAAATTATGCTTAATATATTCAGTATAAAAATCTTTGAATATTTAAATATGCAAATAAATCATGCTAACCACAGTGTTATTTTATGAGAATTTTATTGAAAGATTATAATTTATAATATTGTTTAATTTGCTAGTAAAATATTTGTTTCAAATTATCTTTTAGGTAATTCCAAATGGTCGGCCAGATTTGAATAGTTTTGAATTGAAAGAACGACATTTATGTGAAATAGGAACTGTTAGTGTTCGTAATTTATGCGGTAAGTAATATTAGAATTCTTTAATGTTTGGCATGATAATTAATAAAATTAGTTTTAAAATGAAAATTAAAATAAAATAAAATGAGTTTTGTGGAATGGCTTTTTTTTTTTCTTTTTTTTATTGAAATTAATAATTTGTTAAATATGATAAAACTTAAAAAGCTACAATATATTTGCCTCTTTTTCATTTTTATCAATTTAAGAAAAAAAATTTCATCTTTAAGCTTACAATATTTTAATTTTATAGTACCTTGTGCACCGGGATCATTTTATGATTTAACAACACATACTTGCAAATTATGCATGACCGATGAATATCAACCACGTGCAGCACAAACATCATGTTTACCTTGTCCTAGAGGTTATATTACAACTGCTCCTGGTTCAGCACTTTTAACAGATTGTAAAAGTATGATTTTAAATTATAAATTAAGCAATAAATTAATTTTTGTAACTTAAGTGAAGAAATTTTTGATTTAACTGTTAATTTAGAAGGGTATAAATTATCATTAAGCTACAACCATGCATTCTATTTTATTCTAATTATTGTAGTAATATTAATTGATTAGAAAAATAGTATCAAGTAATTATCCTATTTAATTGCTATATTAATGTAAGCAGTAAATAAATTAAATTGGTTTGTTTGTTTACTGATGATAAACAATAACAATAAATTTCTATTGTCTTTTTTTTAAAGTTATGAATGCATAAGTTTAAAGATGCATGCGATGCTGGTTCAATGTTCAATATTAGCAGTGGTATCTGTGAGCCATGTGGATTTGGCTTTTATCAACCTGCACCAGGTGCATTTAGCTGTATTCCTTGTGGTGTTGGAAAAACAACACTGAAAGAAACATCAATAGCTGAAGATGAATGTCGTGATGAGTGTCCTGGTAAATATTTTTTTTTAAGTTTTCAAACTATTTAAAACAATATTGGAATTTACATAGTGAAAGAACAAAAGAGTGATAAATTAAATGAAATTCATCAAAATTAAATTCATAATTTATTATTAAACTTTATTATAATGCAAATATTAGAATTTTTTTAAAGCAAATTTTTTATAAATGAAGGAGAATATTTTGAATTTTATTTACTTAATTGTAGCTCTCCTGTCCTTTTTTCCTCTTTTTTTTAAAATTTTGTTATCAGATTTGTAGTGATTACCTGTAAAACTTACGTTAATTTCTTTTTTCCTTTTTTGTTATAAAAGTAATTACAACTAATATTTAATAATATTAAAATTATTTTTTTTTTTTTTGCTTAACTTTTAATGGTGAACATTTTTAGATGGTGAACATTTGACACAAGTTGGTGTCTGTCTACCATGTCCACAGGGTACCTATCGTACACGTGGTGTCCATAAAAGTTGTGTTGATTGTCCACCAGGTACCACCACCGAAGGAATTGCATCTGTCCGTCGTATGCAATGCAATACACCAAAATGTTCCGCAGGACAATTTCTTGTTACTACTACGTAAATTATTTTTGCAATAAATTATTAAGCAACATTTAAAAAAAAAGGTTAATTCAATATTAGAGTACTAATCATGAGATAATTTTACATGGAAAATAGCATAAAATTACCAAAAATTTTATACTTTAAAAATAATTAAAAGTATAACAAGAAAGTATATATTATAAGTTTAGAAATGGAAACTAATTTTAAATTAAATTTAAACATATTTAATTACATGAACAATAATTGTATTATCTATTTCAGCAAACAATGTCAATTTTGCCCCCGAGGGACATTTCAGGACGAAGAAATTCAAACTGTTTGCAAGCTTTGTCCACCTGATCATACAACTGCTTCTCAGGGTATTTTAAAGAAAAAGAAAACGAAAGAATCACTCTTATTAAATCAAAAATTAATTCCTATATTTCAAAATTTTTCTGGAATTTATTGCAATACATATTTTTGTAAACTGTGTGATTTTCTTTCTTTTTTTCTCAAACTAATAATTATGGTTTAAAATAGAGTTTGGTTTTATACTTTACCACTTTCAATAAAATTGCTGAAGTTTCAATTTGTTAAAATTTCAAAAAAAAAAAAGATGATTTCAACAATTTAATGATTAATTTAGGTGCAACACAAGCAAGTCAATGCTACTCAACAAATCAATGTGCTACTGGTGAGGATAACTGCTCATGGCATGCAGTTTGCATTGATTTACCTGATGATAATGATATTCCATCTTATCAATGCAAATGTAAACCTGGTTACAAGGGAAATGGAACACATTGTCAAGGTAATAAAATTTTGCATCAATTTATAAAACGTATACAGTTCTAATGTTTGTTTGTTTATTTTTTGTTTGTTTTTTAATGTTAATTTAAAATTTTATCTGATAATATTACATTAATTATCGTGCAAATATGCGAATAAACAAATAATTAACAAATATTATCGCATTTTTGGAAATTAATAAAATAAGAAAAAAATTTAGCGAGAAAAATCAATAAATGATGATGTAGAAAATTAAATTATTTATTTTTTTTTAATCTTTGAAAAACTTCTTAACTTAATCATTATTATTTCGTTTCTGTTTTTTTTTTTTTTTTTTCTTGTTAATTCTTTGTTGATAACTTGCATTATTATATTATTAATAATGCAAAATAAAGAACAAAAGAAAAAATGAGTGTATTTTAGATGCTTGCAATAATTTTTGCCTTAATGATGGTACTTGTAAGAAGAATCCAATCGGTTATGTGGAATGTATTTGTAAAGAGAATTTCTCAGGCGATCGCTGCGAGGTTAAATTGAAATTTAAAGAAAACAAGCAAAACGAAAAAAAAAAAAGAAAAGTGAAGAAAAAAGTGCAGTGAAATTGTAAATCAATTGATTCTAATTTTTTGAAAAAATTTATTGTTTCGTTGAAAGCTGAAATAAACATTCAAATTTTCAAGAAGCTTCAAGCAAATTTACCATTTATTTAAGCTTTTTGTTCCTAAAGAAAAAAGGGAGATTGGAAAATCTTTTAACTACTGTTAATACTATCAAAATTTCTATTCACTATTTTTTTTTTCTTTTAAATGAAATTATTATTTAAATCTATATTTTAAATGAAATTGTTATTTAAATAGGTTCGATTCCAAGCTCGAACACAGAAAGTTGCTCTTATCACAGCTGGTATTGGTGGTGTAGTAACCATTCTTGTTATTATCGTTATTATCATTTGGATGATATCATATCGATTTAATCGAGTTGAAGAATCATCTGAACCGGAAAAATGTCCAGTTGAAGAGAATACTCATACTAATTTCTTGTATGGTCGAATTCCAAGCGAACAGCCAAGGTTAGTATTGATACAACGACGAAAAAAGAAATTGATAATTTAGTTTCTACTTTTGTATTAAATTAAAAATTTTTAAATTATATTATACATAGCATTTCAACTAATATAACAACATTATATCTTCGTTTTCTTATTGATTTTATACAATCTTTAATTCTATTCAATCTTTAATACAATCTTTAAATTAATTCTACTTCCAAATAATGATAGTAAATAATGACATTATCAGATAATGAAGAAAATTTTTTTTTCGTTATTTCTACTTAATGTTTTTACTTTATTGCTTTAGGCCAATAGGTTATTATTATGAAGATGATGATGAGTATGACATGAAAACGATGTTTGTTGGTGAGGAAGAGAAGGAAATGGCGGAAAGAGTACGACATGCTCAGGCGCATATGTATACGCCATCAAATAATAGGCTTGATTAAATGATAATATTTATTAATATTTGTTGATTTCAAAAATTTTATTGATTCGATTGAAAATCAAAAAAAAAAAAACGAAAAAGCTTCGTAGTATATTTTTACATATATGTCATGAAAGTTAAGGCAAATATTGAAAATTCACTTTAAAAAAAAATTGAGGAAAGAAAGAAAAATGAAAAATTTTAAATTAGTAATGATTGATTGACTGACGTTAAGCGACATTGGATAAATTGTTTCTCTGCAAGTAAAATTCAAGTTGTAATTAAAATTTGAATTTTTTGACGCGGAATTTATTGCTATAATTATCATTATTAATGCTAATATTAATATTGACATTATTATTTTCATTATTAATATTATTATTATTATTATCATCATCATCATCATTGCTATTATTATTATTACCATTATTATTATTATTGTCATTATTATTATTATTACCATTATTATTTATTATTGCTTATAGTTAATTCAATTTTGTTTTACATTTTGATCAAAAATGAACTATAAAATTATAAGTATAAACTTTTCACCCAATTATTTTTGATGTACCTTTTACAAGTCCATCTTCTTTTCTCCTTTCGCATTTATTCATTCATTTATTTATTCTTCTTATTCATTTTTTCTCATATTTGATCATTTACCTTTTTCTTTTTTTTAAAAAAAAAGAAAGAAAATATGATAATAATGTATAGACAAAAATAAAATTGTCTAAGCTTTTCCTTTAGAAAGAAAAGTAATTAATTATCTGTTATATATTGTCATATAGTGAACTTTTAATTTTTTTTTTTTTGTTGAATTTTGGTACTTTTTTCCTATTTTTACTCTTTCTTTTTTTGCTCAAATAAAATAATGTACCATGCATAAAATGTATGCATGAATGACTAACTATTGTGATTTATCAAGATAAAATACGTTACAATTAATTTGGTTTTTTTTAAAAAAAAAAAATGAAATGTATGAGTGAATTTTCACTAAAAATTTATGAAATTGTTTTATTTCTTGTGGAATATGAAAAAAGAATAGTTTCCAATACTAATATTATGTATACGTAAATGATTAAAAGTATTTTTAAATAATAATAGAATAAACAGTTTGATTCATTAAATATTTTAATATAAAACTATTAATAGAATTAACAAAATAAAAAAATAAATAAAATCTTGTTAAATTTAAATGAACAGAGAGAGAGAGAGGGAAGGATATTAAAGTATATTTAAAAACATAAGTTAAGTTTTTTGATAATTCATCGACATACAGAAAATGGATTATATATTAAATTTGAAAATAAAATCATTGGAAAAAATAATTAAGCTTGATAAATAAATTTTTTTTCGAAAAATAAATAAAAAAAACGAGATACAATAAAATGAAATGAAATTTTTAATGTATGCTATTGAAAATGTTTTTTACTACAACAATTAGCTACTGTTTGTTTGATTGCTAAAAATGAATTCATCACAGTTAGTAGCATTTAGTAAGTAACAAAATAACATCTGCTATCTGCTCGTAGTGCATGAATTAAATGTAATTGTGGTAGAGTTTAATAACGGATAGCAAGCTGTGCCTCTTATTGCTAGGCTCAATGAATAACGGATGGATGACGGCAAAGTCTGCATGCAATGCGACAACAGTAGCAAGCAATTCAGGAGTGGTGCAGTAAGCTAGCATGCTAGACATTCATTTATAAAATGGTCCATCTTCTCATTCCCTTTTTCTGAATCAACAATGTCACCCTTTGTCATCCCCTACCCTCCCCCTCCCCCTCCACTACCCTAGCTCATGTGTCATTTTTACCTCTTCCTGTTTCCTCGTCTTTCATTCTCATAAACTGAAATATTAGAGCTTAGAGAGGATGAAAGCCTAGTTAGCTCAGCTAGCTAACTACTCTTCCTTATTGTTCCCTCCTTTTCCATCTACTCTCTTCTCCTCCTCCTCTTTTCACTTTTCCGCATATCATTTCGGCGGAGTAAGAAAGCCTTCTTCCTCTTTCAGGGTGGAGTTTAAGGATTTCCTTAAGTGTCACACCTCTTTGGGTCCTTTTCCTATCTATGGATCTATGTGTGTCGTCGTTGTGAGCGTATATGTCTGTGTCTGTTGCACAGCTTTTTGCTTTACGTTGAAAGCCCAGAAACGAAGCGGTCCCGGCATCTCAGTGCATCATATTACTTTGGATAAATGGAAGGACTGGAATCATCAGGACCGATGACCAGCAATAGCTCAGATCCGTTACTATCAGCTACATTATCAAGTTCATCACCGTCACGGCCGGATAACTATCGGAATCATATTCATGATGATAGTTATTCAAGCCATGGTCGTAATAGTCCTCATAGTCAAACTGCTGCTACAACAACAGCATTTAATCAGTATACTACGTTAACACCTCTTCAACCACTTCCGCCTATTTCAACGGTTACTAATTCGTCTGTTAAATTTAATCGTTCTACAGCAAGTCCTGCGGTAAGTGAATCAGACTCAGGTGCTCCATCTGGTAGTAGCATGTTCTTTCAACAAACACCAACAAGTTCCATACCAAATTCCTTAAATTTTGGCTCATTTGCATATAATATAAACATTAAATACGTTTATGACATGAAGAATGAACCGGATGCGGAAGATGGTCAACCTACCGATTCCAGTAATGATAGCAGGAATGAATATACAACACCAGTTACCTTACATCAACAACTTCATCAATTAACTGAACCATTTTCACCTTCACAATCACCATATGTACCATCATATAGTGGTGTTCTGGAACCGAAACAGGAAAAATTGGATTTCATCAGTTCAACTTCATACAATACTTTTAATGGTCCAAATGATATCTTAGACACAGAAACAATGGAAACTGTCAAAAGGGTTTCTTTTTTTTTATTTCATTTTTTTTTCTTTAAATCAAATTTGCCAATAATTTTCAAATTTTAGAAAAGATTAAGAATTTAAACGAGTAATATTGTTCATTAGAGATTAATTATTTTTCTTTGCTAGACTTACTAAAATTTGAAAAAATTATTCATTGATTGGTAAATAAGAATTATCTGCAAGTATTCGATGAATATTAGTGGTATTATGATAGTAATAATAAATTTGTTATAGTAGAGCAATAACAAATTGTAATTAATCAATGTTAGACGTCTTTTTTTTTTAATTTAAATTTTAAATATTATTGCGTTAAGTAGTGATAAAATTTTAGAATGGTTCTTCGCCATTACAAGCTGATACAATATCACATGCCGGATCACCAGATTCTGGTAGCGATATGGATGAGCTAAATACCAAAGATCTTGCACAGAGGATTTCCGCTGAACTTAAACGGTATTCAATTCCACAAGCAATTTTTGCACAACGTGTTTTATGCAGGTATCTTATTAAATCGTTTTTTTTTTTTTTTTTTTTTTACTTTTTTTTTATTTTCCTTCTTTCCTTATCAAAATTTACTTCTTATTATTTCAAAATTTACTTATTATCATATCAAATATAAACATAACATATGTCATAAGACTCTTGATTAAAATTTCATACAATAATTTATCAAATTTATCAATGCAAATTATTCCCCATTGTTTTTAATTGTATTAGCTAAAAAAAAGAGAAGAAAAAGAAAGAAAGAGAAATATGATATCACTAATTTTATTTCATCTAATTATTAGCCTCTAATTTTACACACTTCCTTTCTCTACATTATAATTTATTTTCTCACTTCATCTTCAACTTATACACTTCACTAATAATTAGTCATCATACAAAAGTCAAATTAATTTTATGCTTATCTATAACTCTCATTCTTTTAATTGGAATCATATTCATTTCAAGCGATCTTATTTCAAATTGAAATTTCTCTTTTATAACATAACAAATCCGATCAACTTTCATTGTTTATAATGTGTAAAAAATTCAAAATTAATGCACCCTATTTATATTTCTCATTCAGAAATCTCCTTCTCTTTCCTACTTTTCTCCCTCTCTGTCCTTTTTTTAGAAATTTTGTAAAATTAGTACATCACATGCTTTTTTTCCTTCACTGCCAATTTTTCTTTTTTTCGTTTTTTTTTTTTGGTTCTTAATTTGTTAGATATGTTTATATATATGTATATATAATTTGGAATTTGATTAATGTATAAATATTTATTCATTTATTTAACAGGTAATTCAAGCAAGTAATTTATTTTGTGCTTTTCACATTTTATCTTTTTTTTTTTTTTTTTTTTTTTTTTTTTTTGCATTCTTACACTTATCTTTCATTTACTTATTATTATTATTAAAAATTTGAATTAAAAAAAAAAAATTTCATCATTAAATTATTCTTTTTTCCTGATTAAATAAGAAACAAAAAAAAAAAAAAAAAACGATGATTGAATTTTAAAAAAATGATAAAAACAGTACCAATTATATAATTCCAAAAGTAACTTTTTCAATAATTGCATTTGTATAAACATGAAATTTTTATTATTTAGATCACAAGGAACGCTTTCTGATTTATTGAGAAATCCAAAACCATGGTCCAAGCTTAAGAGCGGTCGTGAAACATTCAGACGTATGGCAAAATGGTTACAGGAACCGGAATTTCAACGAATGTCCGCTTTACGTTTAGCTGGTATTTTTTGTTGTTGTTGTTTATTTAATTTCTTAGCTTTTTTTCTTATATTTAATAATTTGAAATTGTTGGTAATTCATTTTTTCTCTCACAAAACAAAGCAAAACAAAAAAGAAGATTTATCAATAATTTGGAGTTTGATTGATGTATAAAAATAATATTGAAAAGATTTTTATTATTTTTCAACATTTTAAGCTTACTTTAAATAATGATATGAAATCAAAATAATATAATTCTCTTCATTTATTTTATTTATTCTTTCGTCTTTGATTTTTTTTTTTAAATAAATACTACTATTTTAATACTTGATAAATCTTATAAGATTTAATCAATTCAGATATTTTGGGAGCAAATCTTTAACCATTTCTTCTTTGCTTTTTTTTACTTTAAGGAAGGGAAGAAAATTTTGAGATGAAAAAGTTACTTCTTTTTTTTTTTTTTTAATCAACTAGAAATTACGAATTAAAATGAATTCATAGTGATATTAAGGATGAAAAATGAAATACGATTATGTGGATGATATGTGTTCTTGATAGATGATAATAATAATAGTAATGAATAATAATTATTATTATCATTACTTTTTAATAACGCTTTAAAAGAATTTTTTTTTTTGATTTTTAATAACTGATTATTATCATTAATTAATAATAATAATAATAAATATAAAATAAATAATGGCAATGACCACTACATGTGTTATAGCTAAAAGAAAAGATATGAATTTATCCATATATAAATGACCGAATTGAAAAGAGTGGCATGGGTTTAGATTAACGAGCAAAAAGTGCAGCTGCTACTGTACCAAACCTCACAGATGGTGATTCTTCCTTCAATCTTTTTATGTGCGGGGGATACCACTTACCTCGATCTGTGATTTAATTGTTTTTTGACCTTCGTCCACCTTTTTTGTTCATTCCTCTTTATCTTTTATTTCATTTCTGCTATCTTTTTTTTTCATTTTTTTTTTATCATTTCTCTTTTTTTAAAGTTTTTTATACAATAAATTTTATACAAATGTGTACCATAAAATATTTTACAATAAATGCAAAATTATTGTTTAAACATTTTGCAACAAGTTTTCCTTGATTAAATGATACTCAAACATTTTATTGTTACAAATAAAACAAAGTGGTTAAAAAAAAGTGGAAAAAAAAGAAAAAATAAATCTATTTGATTGAAAAGATATTTTAGATACAGTAACCGATGATTATTTGTCAAATTATTTGCATATCGTAAATTAACTTGTCATTGTAATGCTATAACAAATTTATTTATTCTTTTTTTTTGTTTCTTTTTCTTTGCTTTTTGTGAAAATTTAATTTGTAAAAATTAAAAAATTTATATTAAATAATTTGAAACAATTAATTATAGTAGAATTTGATAATTAAATTTATTAAGTAATATGAAAAAGAAGAAAAAGTGTTTTTTTCCTTTCTTTCATTCTTTCTTCAAGAATTAATAATAATAGCAATTACAATTGTAATTTTATCTTTGACAATTAATATTTTATCAAATTTATTTTTTATAGCCTTTACAATATTTTATCAAATTTATTTTTTTTCTTATCACTTTTCGAATATAATTTCTAATTTATTTATTCTAATTTTTATTTCATATTTATGATTTATTATTTTTCAACATTAACTTTTTTTTTTGACAAATTTACCTCAATTTATTTTTTCTTTTCTTTCCTTGCCTTTTTTCGCAGGTAAGAAAAAATAATTGCGTAATATTTGAAACTTCCCAAATAAATTAGTGGTAGAATTTGCTATGATAATTTTTGATAACGTTCAAAACAGAGCAAAAATAGTTTGGTTGATAATTTAGTCGACAAATAATTTGTACATCAAATAAACTTTGATAAGAAGATACGACAATAAGTAAAAATTATCATTTGCCATTAATATAATATAATTAGTAGTTAAATCTGTATAATTTATCATCTTTGAGCACTTTTTTCTTTTTATATGAGATTAACATTGTTAAGTAATACAATTACCAATTTAATATTGTTTCCTTTAAAGTATTTATAAAAATTTTAAATTTTAATTTGTTTTTCAAAATTATTAGCTTCAACTACTATTACTTTTTATCTATTACTTTTTTCTTTCCAATAGCATTCATTAATGGTATAAATGATTTTTTATTTAGAAAAAAAAATAAAAAATAAAACTAAACAAAATTAAAATTTCATTCACAATAAATAAAAGCAGCGAATTAAAAAAAAATTTATAAATAAATATTTCTTTTTCTTTTTTTATAGTCAAATTTTTCGTTATAATTATTATTCATATAAATTACACAGCTCTTAAATTTTTTTTGTTTGAATTGAAATACAAAATGTATGCTTATAATACTAATAATAATTAGGCTAAGTAATTTAATTATTACTTAGCCTAATAATTAGGCTAAGTAATAATTAAATTGAAATCATCGGCAAATCTTTCATATTATGATAATACGCTATATATTCTTTTAATTATCAACTGTCTTACTCATATGACACTCGTGAAATATACCTACGTACGAGCATATATATACGCACACACACACATACATACATGCATACATACAGATGTATTTGACATTCATTAATAATGCATTATCCGTTGCCGATGTCCATTTTTTCATCGTTTCAAGTTTATCTTGCTTGCAATGGTTTATAAAAATTTAATTCTCAAAAATTTTTGTCTACGGTTATTTCGTTACATCTATAAATGATGAAAGACCGGAAAATTCCCGGAAAATATGAAGTGATTTTAGATTGTTTGATACATTTTAATGTATGAAATTTGGACATGAACATAAATCTTTTGAGAAAAATAATTGCAATTTTTCACCTATGCACAACAAAAAAAATTTTTTTTCTTCTTTTTGTTTGAATTTCTGTAAATATTTCAAATCTTTTAATAGTTATTTATCGAAAGAAAAAAAAAATTAACTAAAGGAAATTGAAACAAAAAATAAAAAAGAAAAATGAAATTATATTCATTTGACATTATATTTTGGAAAAATAGTATGATATTATTATATTTGTAAATTAAGCAAACAAAAGTATATAAACTTAAATACCTGAAATTAGATGATCCGGAAAAAAGACTAATTTTATGCAGTGAAAAATCGGGAGATTAGACGTATATGCAAGAGTGATTACAAGATTGAATATGCCTATAAATCTTTACAAAAATTATTGCGCATCCTCAATGGATGAGAATATGCTTATGTCATAGTGACGAATTATACAATCTCAATAAATGTCTGAATTAATTTCATCGGAAATTGTCTTATTCCTGGCGAATTGTCCATACAAACTTTCTGATCAAATTTCATTACTTTCAATTTTGAAACTTTAAATGATTTATAACACTATAACAGATAGATAAAAGTGAAATCTTTTCTTTTTTACGTTTGAAGTTATTTTATTTTTCATTTTCATCACCATTTAAATTTTCATATCCTTTTATTGTTCCAAATCAAAATTAATGAATCTAAATATTATCATTCTCATATGATTTATATGTTATCACAGATAACATTATTGTTTTTTTTTTTTTTTTTTTTTTTTTTTACAAGATAGCAAATGTGCCATTGCAATAAAAATAAGATCATTTAGTAATTGTTAATTTGTGTTTTTGAATTTTATAATCTCTCTCAACATTCTAAACTAAATCTTATTTTATAATCATTAGTAATGATTCTCTAATTTTGTGATTGAAATCTAATCATTATACCAATTATCCATGCCGAAAGGTCAAGCATTCAACTATAAATTAATGAGCATTATTGTAAAATTTATTTGTAAGAAAGCTCTATCAATTAGTGTGCGTATCCTTTTCATGTTTTTTTTTTCGTACTACTAATTATGATATGTACTGGAAAATTTCTAAAAATTAAATGGTTGACTATGATTGCAAGGGACATATGAAATATGTATACTTTCTCTTTTTCTCTCTCGCTCTTCCTCTCTCTCTTCCTGCTTCCTCTTTCTTTCTCTTTCATTTTTTTTATGTTTTAATTTTGTGAAAAAAAATTTTCGAATTACTACTAATATTTACTTCAATTCTTATGCATTAAAACAAAAAAGAAGTAAAAAAAGATCGCATATGATACTCATTAATTATTAAATAAATTGTTTCAATTTTAAAAATTTAATTATTTGTTCAAAAAAAATTTTTTTTTTGCTTTTAATAAAATTAATTCAGCGTGTAAACGAAAAGATGAACAACAAATTAATGGTGCTTCACAACCGACAACACCAAAAAAACCACGCTTAGTGTTCACCGATATTCAAAGACGTACATTGCAGGTGGGCCAGTTGAAGGTGCTAATTGAAATTTGTAAAAGATAGAGAGAAAAGAGAGGGAGAGAGAGGAGGAGGGAAAAAGAGAAAGAGAAAAAAAAAGCAAAAAAACTATGCAAAAAGAATAATAATATTTTCATCTTGTATTCTGTGATCTATTTTATCAATTATAAATATATGATAGTTTTTTTTTTTTTTTCCTTTTTTTTGGAAAGTGTAATTTCTAACAGAAAAAAAAACTACTTTTTTTCTAAATTTAAATTATATAAAATAATATATAATGAAGATAATATTAATCTATTATATATGTTTTTTTCTTCTTTTAAATCTAAATTTTTTTTATTTGACATAATTTAATAGAATGCTAACCCTAGTCACTTCTAGAGCTTTTTTTTTTTTTTTTTTGTTTTCTTTTTTGTTTTTTTTAAGCTGAAAGGGAACAGGAAGAGGGAGAGAAAGAAAAGAGTAAGGGCAAGAATGAGTGATAGAGAGAATGAGAAGGAGGAAAAAAAAGGAAGCAGATGTCATTTGTTATTGTCACACAATTTAATTTTTACATTCTTCAAAAATTTACTCCAAATTTTAAAAAACGCTCCACTCTTTCCATTATTTCTATCAACATTTAAATAATTAATCAGTTACGTGCGTATTCGCTTCCTTCTTCGTTTCTCGGAAGCAATCAGTTATCAGTAGCGAAGAAGGCAAAATCATCACAGGACTGGTCTTCCAGATACATTACAAGGAGGAAGGTGGTATGTTAGCCTTGCTCTAGCATTATGGCTTAAGATACATCCTTCCATATTTTGGGAAAAAAACGAAAGCTTCAAATCTTTTTTTTTTTCTTTGAGAAAGAGAGATTTGAAATTAGTTAGGAAAGGATATCTTGTAAGGAAAGGATATACATATTTGTTTATTAATTCTAATGTGAGAAAGAATAAATAATATTCCATTGTAATATAAATTCATGCCTGAATTAATACATTTCCAACATCATTCTGATGCATTTGCACCAATTTTTTTTTTTTTTTAAGTAATACTTTTTATAATTTATATAATTTTATGTGATATATTGATTTATTAAATTTTTTGCAGTTAACAATTATAACAAACTAACAAATTAGGTCGAAAATTTTTTCGTTCAAACTTTTTTTCTAAATAATACCTTTTAAAAAATGATGCTATTATAAAACTTTGAAATTAAAATATCTAAAATAATTCATAAGAAAAAGAGAGACATTTATTATAGGCAATATTCAAGGAAACCAAACGGCCATCACGAGAAATGCAACTGACAATATCTCAACAACTACAATTGGATCCTACGACAGTTGCGAATTTTTTCATGAATGCCCGTCGTCGTGGTCATGATCGTGGTAGGCAAGAGGAAGAGCAACAAGAGCAACAGCAACAGCAAGAGCAACTACAACAATCACAAACACGACAGCAAGAGCAACAGCAACAGCATCAATCCGAACAACAACATGATGTGGTACTTAATTCTAATACAAATAGTGAAACGATTCTTGGTACCATACCACCGCCACCCGTTTTTGAGCAATTATAAAAATAAAGGATTAGGTACAGATTTTATTATTCAGTTAATGATTGTGAAACATTAATATTTCACAATTATAAATGCACATATTTTTTTCATTTCATCAACAAATATTTTTCATCATTCATATTCTTCCAAATGTTTTTTTCCTTTCCTTTTTTTTATTTTTTTTCACATGTGTGTTATATGAAATGATAACTCTTAATTATCTGCAAATCATTTAAAATGATTGAAAAAAAGAATTCAATACTATTACGTTAGCAATATTTAGGTATTGGAAAAAAAATAATAAAAAAAGACAAAAAAAGCACAGCATTACTTTGAATAATTATTGGTAATTTTAAAAAATGTCAATAATCTCTCGTTCAAAGAATTTTTTGAAAAAATTATAGAAACACGAAAATGTTTTTTTTTTCAGAAAAGTTTTTTTTTTTTTTTTTAAATGCTAATTGCATGATTGCTTTATGTTAACTTAAGTTGGTTAGTTAATAAAATTGATTCTCTTTCCCAATATTTTGTAATAACTTTTTTGTTAGCGAGTAATTTAGTAAATCATGGAAGAAATTTTGAATTGCAGCTAAAATTTGCATATTTTTACTAGTTTTAAGTTGTTTAAAGTTGTAAATATTTCATAATATAAAATAATTGCACTTTATTTCTTAATTTTTTTTTCTTTTTCTTTTGCAAAAATATTTCTTAAATTTTTAACTTGATATAATGTTCTCCTTAAAAAAAAAAAAAAAAAAAAAAATGATATAATTTATTATCGGCAACGAACCGATAGCTCTGCAAATTTTACCATTAAAATGCAAATGTTACCATTTGAATTATAATGATAAGAATAAAATCCATTTTTCAAACTTCTTCTAAGATTTCAATCACTATTCTCCTCCGATTTTTTTGTCTTTCGGCTCATTCTAGTCATCATTTTATTATCACGATGTTAATTATAATTATTATGATGATTTTGATCCTAATAATAATAATAATAGTAAGGAATAATAATAATAATTTTAACATTAATCTCAAACAATATCACTAATGAAAACTTTTTTAAATTTAATTACAAAAATCTCTTTACCCATATTACTGGTTTCATAATCGCTTTGAATCATTTATTGTTAACTTGAAAATTTTCTTTTTTTTTAACTTGTAGATAAAATAGCTTCGCTTATTCAATTAACAATTAATATTAATTTAATGGTTTAAAACTATCATCTTATGATTAAACAGTAAAGGAAAAAGAAAAAGAGGACAAAAAATACAGAGAAGTAGGAGAGAGAGACAGAGAGTTTTCAATAAAAAAATAAACAAACAAAATTGTACGCAATTTTTTTCTCCTATTCTTTTTTTTGAATATAATTTTTAATTATTATTATTATTTATTATTATTATTACTATTATTATCATTATACATTTATACTTTTGACTTCCTTTATCGCTTATGCTGTGCAAGATTAAATTTTCTTCTTTTTTTTACGTACGCCATTTTATGCTGTTTTCGTTATTTACGATATAATTTCTTTTTTTTTGTCTGTACGATAAAAATGTTTTATTTTACCTCAGCCATTTTCATCATCTGAAATTTCAAATTGGAAATGAATTTTATTAATTATTATATTCGTATGCACTTTTCCGCTTATTCGCTCACTAGTCATAGCGTGGTAGTTGATATAATTTTTAACAACATTTCTAGTCAGCGATCTACCATATTTGCCTATTTTGATCAATTTATACATTTTTTTTCTTCCTTTTTTTTTCTTTTTGTTAAACTTTTGTATTTTTTACATAATTAAATTTGTTTTTCATTTTTATTTGCTTTGAATATGTGCAGTAAAAAATAGTTCAAGCTTTTATACATAATTACAAATAAATTTTATTAGTTGTTATAAAAGGAGAACTAAAAATCAAGAAATAAATTGTTGCATGCATGAAAAAATAGTTTTATCAATTTCCTATCACAATATTATAATTATTAGAATGCTTGGTTAGTTTATAATAAAGGAACTTATAAAAAGTAGTAATATCACTGATTGATAAAATTAATTACAAAAAAAAAAAATGTTTGGCATATTTTAATTGGCGAATTGCAAGCATATTAATTAATAATAGTGTTATAAATGGAAAAATAAAAGGATATTTGAAAAAATTCTTCAAATTTTTTGAATTAATGTCTTTTTTTTTTGCAAAACGATTTTCTCCAAATTCATTGATCTGGAAAGTTTCGAAAAAAGGGAGAGAAAGAAAGAAGGAAAAGAACAGACAATCAAATATTATAATAGCTAGTTTGAAATATGAATACTTCAACTGAAGTCTTTTTTATAAGTACATATTTTAGAAATAATTACTATGTTCTAAATTCTAATTTATTCTGTCCTAATGAACGAATTTGCTATTTCTAAAAATCAATTAATATATGACACAATAGTTTGGAACCTTCTGCTTTTTATTTTTAAACTTTAATTAATTCCTGATTTTTTTCTTTACTTAAGAGTACACTTTTCTCATGTTATACTCAATAAATTATTAAGAATGATTTTAAAAGAAGGCAAAAAAAAAGAAAAAAAATACTTTGGTACGTACACTCTTCATATGTATGTTAAATTCATTTGGGAAAATAAAAACAACTAAAGCTTAGCATTTAAAATTTCCCTGCTAAAACATTTTTACAAGTTAACTTCAAAAGAAACGACAAATTTTTTAAATGGAAAAGAAAAAGGAAAAAAAAACTCAAATATGTGAAAATTCATATTTGTCAAAAAAAAAAAGAAATGTATTTTATATCAATTGTAACAGAAAAAGACAACTTTCATCTGATTTAGTTTAATGAAACTTTTGAATGTGTTTTTAAAAGGAAAAATTTTCAACTGCCATGTGATAATGATAAGCTAATTGACAATTTTCCAATGTTTATCAAATAAAAATCGTTGATAAAAAAATGATTTAGGAAAAAAAAGAAGAAACGCAATAGTTATGAAAATGGCCAACTTAATTTGCTGCATTGTGACTATTGCATTACATTACAATTTTCAGCAAATGTTCAAATTTGCTAATGAAAAGAGTTTGTCAAAAAAAAACATTCCTAAAATTCACAGCAAAATTCAACTTTTTTACATTTTAAAAATAATAAGTGATATATTAAAAAAAATGATAAATGATAAAAAAGTGATATTCATTACATGTACAAATAAATATAAATGAGTCACTTTCTTTTTTTTAAAGTAATAAACAAATTCCACCCATTACGTTGAAATGTAACGTCTATTACTTATTATAGTGGTTAAGTTATCAACGGCTATTAATAAAATTTAACGAAAATTATAAATTTTTGAAAAAAAAAGCCTTTGTTTTATAGTGAAATAAGCATATATATAAATAGATATGAAAAAGTTTTTTTTTTAAGTAAAAATAAAATTTTTACTCATGTTATAAATGAATTAGGTAAAACAATAGATATATAACAAAAGAAAAAGAAATGAAAAATAAGAAAGAAAGGAGTAAAATTTCTTTGAATTATTTCATTTGAAAATAATTTAGAATACATATACAAATATATTTCTTATTTTAATTTTTTTTTTTTTTCACTGAAGTTATATTCAAAAAATTGATTTCACCACTTATTTAACATTTTGTTATTGTTTTTACTTTTTATAAAATTATACAGAGAAAGGAAGATTTTTTCAAAATTGATAAAATTTTGAAATTTAGATATTTTTACAAAATTAAATAATGCTCCCTTTTTCTTCTCCCTCTCAGCATCAGTGATAATTCGTTTATGTAAAGAAGAAAAAATTATCAGAATTTGTTAAATTTCAAACTGTACACACCACAGATTCAATAACTGGGGAAGAAAGAAGAAAACTCTGATATTTTCAATTTTAGTTAGAATTAAATTATCACTATTGAATAAAATAATACCCACCCAATTTTACATAATATAACAATGAAAATTAAAATGAACAATTATGCAATTGGTGTACAATTTTTTGAGAAATCGCAGAAGGAAAAGAAAAAAATTGCTCATTTAATAAAATTAAACAAAAAAAAAAAATATTCGTTATCATTTCAAACAAATTGCTATTCACAATTTAGCATCATTTCAAAATTGAAATTACGAAATTATCATATTAATGCATAAAGTTAAATAAAAAATATGGAATTATAAAATTTCAAGTCATTCAATAAAAGAAAAAAGACAGATTTTTTTCAGTTTTTCTTTTATAAATACTCGAAAAAAAAATTATAAATAATTTATAAACAATTAATAGAAAGGAAAGGAACAAGCATAATTTCCTATAACTCCAAAATTAAAACAATGAAATTGTTGCATTAATTAATTTCATTTCAAAACTTTTATAAATAATAATTTCTTCTTTTTTTTTCACTTCATTCCAATTTCTATAAATAATAATAATAATTTCTTCTTGTTTTTTTCTTTTTAAATTGGTTACCTCATTCAACATTACAAGATATTTTTAATTTATAGTTCTCAACAAAGAAAAGAAGAAAAAGCAAAAATAAAAAATGAAATTCAAAAAGTTTAAATAATTAATAATTTAACGACAGAATAATTGTCAATGGAAAAGAAATGAAAAAGTCATTCTCAATCAATTAAATTGATTCTTTTTCTTTTTACCTTTTCCTTTTTTTAAGTTTTGCTAATAGTCATTCTTTTTTATGAAAAAAAAAAAACAATTTACCATGGTGACAAAATAGAAAAATAAAAAATAGAAATGAGAAAGAGAGTGAGAGAGAAAAGGACAGAAGACAAAGCGTGGGTGGAAAGAAAGAAAAGCTAAAATAAAACAAGAAATGGAAAAAACATGTGAAATTGAAACTAGTGATATTGTTAATGAATGAATTCTAATGAAGTTATTCCTTTCACGAAATTTACTTTTTCTTTTTTTCGTTTTTCTTTTCCTTTTTTTCCATTTCATTTTTTCCTCTTTTCTTCTTCCATCATTTCCATATCATTTCTTTTTCATTTTTTCTTTCCATTTCTTAAAGTTTTGTAAAATTCTTAATAAGGAAATTAAATTATGTAGGGAAAATGACTTTATTTATGCAAACAAGAAGGAAGAAAAAAAAATTATCTTTTTGAAGTTTCAAAGGAAATGGCAAAAAATTTTTTAAAACATTAACCATTAAAATGTCAATGAGATAATTGTTATTATTTTAATGCACTTAAAAGTGGCAGTATACTGCATTACTGATAAGCCTAAATAAATATTACTCATTTATCATGTTATCTTATCTGTTATGATAATTGTTATGCATGTATATATTTTATTACTATAATTTATTAAGCTCAAAAATAAATTTAATATTAAATCAGTTTAATAATAATATATGAATAAATTTATTTTAAAATACGTCTTTAAAAATGATATTATACCTAAAAGAAGAGAAAGTAAACGAGAAAAAAGGGAAAGTGGAAAAGGAAGATCTAAAAAAGTGAGATAAGATATAAATTAAGGTGGGGAAAAAACTTTTTTCTGAGAATGAAAAAATGGAAAGTTTTTTTCTCTCACATTACTTCATTATCATTAAGATATCACACCATTACCAGATGAATATTTCTTTTCCTTTTTTAAATAATAACATATTACTGTCATTTTATGCTTCTTTTTTTTCTAAATTTGATGACAAAGAAGTAAGTGAATGACAAATACATAAATATATATATATATATGTCTATACATACAGAAAATGAAAGGGGCGTTAAAGCTAATCGATTTGTCATCATCATCTTACATCCAGTAATTAAGCAACGAAGAATAGAATAGAAGAGGGAGAGGGAGAGGGAGGGGAAAAGAAAGAGAAAGAGGAAGAGAAGAAAGCATATATAGTATTGATAATGTTTGAGTGTATATATATATATACGATAGGAGGAGGAATGCAGTTTTTAAAAGCCTTAAATACGAGTAAGCCCCTAAAGGAAAAAAAAGGAGAAGCATATAAAGCTTTTAGTTTGTTAAATAAGAGAAACCAGCGTGCATATATTTTTGTTGTCTGCTATTTACGCTATTACTCTCTTTCTTCATCAATATTTGTCTAAATATTGAAATATTTTTTAAAAAAATCTACAATTATTGTATAAATTAATTTTATTTACTTCTGTTTACATGGATAAATATTTGCTTCTCATTTTATTTCTCACATTCATTTCAAATATGCAAAAAATTAATTGTACCGTTAATGAAAAATGGTACAAATATCATAATCAACATGAATTAGAAACAATTCTAATTAATATTAATAAGCATTGTTCAAACTTTACCACCATTTATTCCATTGGTAAAAGTGTTAATGGTAATGATTTACTTGTGATTCATTTTTCAACAACACCTGGACAACATGAAATGTGTATGTTTTTTTTGTCTTTTTTTTTTCTTTTTTAAATTTTAGTTATTACTAGCGCTATTAATTTAAATGATTGGTGTAAAATCTAAATAAATTTTTTTCTCCTACAAAATTTAAATAATTTGTGTAAAAAATTTTTTTACAATTGAAAATAATTATATTTACAAAAACGGATTTTTTTTACTTAAAAAAGATCAATTTCTTTTTTTCGATTCAAAATCATTCTCTCATTTTTCGTTGCCGTTTTTTCTTTCACTCAATTTCCATCTGCGATGTATCATTCAATAATTTTTGTCATTTAAGCATTTTTTTGTTTTTATACAAATAAATGTTTTCAAATTTTCGAATTTATATTTGTGGAAAAAAAAAAAAAAAAAAACGAAAGTGAAAATCTTTTGAATTAGTCAAAAACAGATTTGTTTTTAGTAAAACCAGAAATGAAATATATTGGAAATATGCATGGTAATGAACCTATTGGAAGAGAATTACTATTACGTCTTGCATCATACTTTTGTGATCAACTTTTGGCAAAAAATAAGGAAATTATGGCACTTATCAATTCCACATCAATTCATTTATTGCCATCAATGAATCCGGATGGATTTGAACGTGCACTTTCCACCGTAATAAATATTTCAGAATATCTCTATTCTTTTTTTTTTCTTTCTCTGGATTTGTACATCATTTCAAATGAGTGTCATCAATAAACAGGAATTTGAATAGAACAGGAAAATAAAAACTCTAAAATTTAGATTTCTAACTGATTATTTAATAAAAACTATTAATGTAATTGTAAAAGTTAGGTTCCTTTCTTTTCTTTTATTTCTTCTTTAAATTTTTTGCTTTAAGAAAAAAAAAAGCAAAAATTAGGACATTGGAAGCAGTTGAAATATTTTTCTTTTAACTTTAACAATGGTTAGCTTACGGTGTTTGGGATACTGTAAAGTAAACATTGCTGACGTTTCAAATGCAAAATAAACAGTTGTGATGAAAAATACTAGCGAATAAATTTAGACTAAAATATATTTCAGGAAAGTAATGCTCGTGATTGGTTTACCGGTAGATCTAATGCAAATGGTGTTGATTTGAATCGAGATTTTCCGGATCTTGATGGTTTCTATTACTATTTGGAACGACATAATATACCACGTTTTGATCATCTTCTGGAATTGTTCGGTGATGAGGGAAAAGAAGTATGTATTTTTACTTAAAATTTAATTTTTATTGAAGTAATTTAGGCAAATAATTATGAGAGTAATTTTAATTATAAATTTTTGAAAATTTTAAGTATCAACCAGAAGTACGAGCTGTTGGCAAATGGATTCTTTCTTTGCCATTTGTTTTATCAGCCAATATGCATGAAGGTGATTTAGTGGCTAATTATCCGTTTGATTCTGCTCGAATTCCAAACAGCAATGAATATTCTATAAGTCCTGATGATGAAACATTCCGGTTAATATATTTCAAATGTTATTAAAAAAAAATGTTATTAAAGAATTTATCATTCGATTACTTTTTGGATTACATAAATTTAGAATTTTTTTTTTTTGGAATTTCATGATTAAGAGATGTTGTAAATTTATCACCATAATATCATACAATTCTCTCTTATTATCTTGCTAAAATAATAAATGATAAAAGAATTTTTTGTTTGAAATCAGCAAAAAAAAAAAATTAATTTAAGATACCTAGCAGAGAGTTATGCAAGCAAACATGCTCAAATGGCAAAAAATGATCATCCACCCTGTGATGGAACTGTTACTGATGCATTTGCGCGGCAAGGTTAAATAATTTTTTAAACTTTTATATATTTGAAAAAATCAAAAAAAAAAAATCGAAAATAAATTAACAAATTAATCAAATTCATAAAATTACATAAATCAATGATATAAGTACATTTTAGGTGGAATAACAAATGGCGCAAAATGGTATTCTGTTTCGGGTGGCATGCAAGATTTCAATTATTTGGCAACAAATGCATTTGAAATAACATTGGAATTATCGTGTGAAAAATTTCCGGATAGCACATTGTTACCGAAATTTTGGGGAGATAATAAGGAGGCATTGATTGATTTTATTCGGAAGGTTTGTCCTCAAATTATTATATATTTTGTTAAATTGAAACTAAATTTTAAGCAAATCTTTTTTTAGAAAGCTAAACTTTTATGCAAATTTGTTGTAATTATATTCATTAATTGTAAACTGTTCGCTTGTCCTTTTTTCTTTTTAAATGGAAATTAAGCTAAATGTAATATTTTGAGCTAAATCAAATGTTAAACAATATATTTTAATACATTACTACAATTTTAGTTTACTTCTTTATCAATCTTATTGAATAATTTATGTTATATTTAACATATTGAATAATTCAAGTTTATGTTTGACAACTTTAACACGATATATATGCATATACTTCATACATATTCAATCTTAAAGGTATTAAAAAAAATTCTGCTGTGAAATAGATTTTTTGACAAATGTTATTACAGGCTCATATTGGAATCAAAGGTATCGTAACAGATAAAATTACCGGACAGCCAATACCAGAAGCTATTATATGGGTAAAAAATAGCACCGAAATTACTCCAATCAAACATCCTGTTACATCCTGTAAATTTTAAAAATAAAAATAGTGAATTTTGGACTAGTCTGCACAGTGAATAATTATGAATAATATTTCATCTAAATTTCTTTTTCACAAATTTTAAATTAAAAATTTGTAATCAAAAATTTCAAATTCAGAACTTTAATTAATTAATCTAGATTTTGTTATCTCTATAAAAAAGCTTAAATTGTATTTCTATTTGGGTCAAATAATTAGCTATTTATTTTATAGGGAAAACTGGTGAATATTTCCGTTTACTTACTCCAGGATATTACGAAATTTACGTAACAGCGGATGGCTACCAATCAACATTCAAACAAGTAAATGTTACAAATGGCAGCCAAACATCAGCAAAGATTGTAAACTTTGCTCTAATGCCGGAACAATCAAAGGTTGAAAAATTAAAATTTAAATTAAATCTTTAGTCAACTTTGGATTTTACTAGAGATAGTTTCAAATGAGATAAATAAGCAATATAATGAAGTTGTGATATCAATCCCTATAGTATAAGCAATGCAAGATAATTTTTTTGCTTTTTTTTTGTCTTTTTTGTTTTTGTTGACATAATTTTTGTTAAATATTTGGTGAGACTGTCACTAATAATTAAAGCATGCAATAAGCGAAAACAACTCAAGCTTTTTCCAAAATTCCCACTAATTGAATACAATATTTTGCTGAAATTCATCTGATGTAGTCGGTTCCGGGAAGTCCCAGAAGTCTCAGGTCAAAAATATAATAAAAATATGACAAAATTAAAGTATATCTGTGATGATTAGGTTAAAAAAAGTTAGTATTTCAAAAATATGATGCTATTTCAGGAATATGATGTACCACAGGATGAAATTTTAAACGAGGTGGAAGAGTAATAACACAAACGAAAAAGTTAAATATCCAAAGAAAATGTCACGGACAGTTGCGCTATCTGTCGCCTTCATGTTAAAACTAAAATTAAGATTTCGCTAGAAAACTCTAACTGATAATGTAAATTGAAAGATTAAAATTAGAGTTATACTAAAGACTGAAGAAAAGTTTGGAATACCATAGTTTACTTGTATTATCTCTTATCTTTTCTCACATGTAGGCGGCAATATATTTGTTCCAATAAATTTGGTAAATAAAGAGCCATATTTGAAATGATGATTTCGCACCTTTTGAATTAATCAGTTTATTATCATCCATTCAAAATACACATAACGTTACATTCTTTTACCGTGTTTGAGTTATAATTTGATATTTAATTGAAGATATCAAATTGATCGAGTTACATTTCATAATTCTTAGATTTTAATTATGGAAATCAGTATTCCCATACAACTGTACTTCTAAAACCTGATTGCATAATTTATGACTTTTCAGTGTAAACCAAAGAAATAAGCATGTTTTATTTAATTTTAAAAATTTTAATAAAATGATAAAATAACAAAAATATATTTAAATTTTATTTAAATTTCATAACGCATATGAGCAACTGCATTACGTACCCAATTCGGTATATTACCATCGGGAAATTGTTCCAACAAAAATTCGTTTAAAAATTCTTGCACTGTACTTGTGTCAATTGCACTACGCAATCGTTTCATGAGATCGACATGATGCTGCAGATTATGCACTGAGATAATATGACATGCAACAGTTTCCTGCAAAAACTTTTCCATTTCTAGAAAATCAATAAACTTAAGTTAATATCTTCCTCTCTCTCTCTCTCTCCCTTTCTCTCTTACTCTGTTCAAGATAAATGGAATAAAATATACCTGACTCAATATGGAATGAATATAGGCTCGTGTATAACACTGACAAGAATGACATGGACAACTGTCATCAATTGGTCGAAAATCATTTTCAAATTCACTTCGAGTAAGATGCAGCATACCACCACGTCGTACAATTGCTGTACCAAATCTTCAAAATTTATTCATTGCTTTGTAAATTGCCAAATTTGAGATTAATTTTTTGAAAATTTATCACTAAACAGTTTTTAAATATCTTAAAATAAGCATAATGAGTTGAAAACCTTGCAGTACGTGTTGGGTAAACACAATCAAACATATCAGCACCCAGTAATGAGCAAATTACTAAATCAATTGGCCATCCAATACCCATCACATATCGTGGCAGATGTTCCGGTAAATTCTTACAACAGCATGCAACAATTCTCCAAAATGAATTTTTATCTTCTCCTGCACATTATGGTAAAATTATTCCATTCTAATATCTTATAAATATAAATTAGAAATTCAAAATTTAATACCTTATAAATTAAAAATAAAATTTTGTGAAGTGATATATGTGAAATGAACTACGAAAAGAAAAAGAAAAACAGACAGTACTATCAAAAGCCTAATTGCTATATAGTCTAAAAAGAATAGTTTGATGATTGATGCTGCATCTTACTGAAGCGGAATTATTTGTGTAAGCGTATTGGATATCTCAAATATTTATAATCTTTAAAAAAGTTTCATTGAAATACCAATTCGTCATCACTAATGGAGGAACAAAAACTTTTCCACTATTTTCATGACAATTTGACATATGTTTACATTATATCATTCTTTATCAAATGACAGTGTTAAAAACGCACAGAAAGATGGGATATAATTTTACGAGAGAAAAAAAAAGCGGTAACTTACCACCGCTTAAGCCACCAATTGCAATACCCGTTTCCGCCTGTTGAACCATAGCTGCAGTACATTTTTTACGAAGAGAAAGATCTAAACCACCCTGTATAATAGGAAATAAAGCTTGATCTTTTCTCGTATGCGCATTGCGACAACGTTTCAACCACCTGAAAAGAATAAATTGTATGAACTAAAAACAGTTTTATATCAATCGATTATTCAAATTTTAATCAACTTGTTGCATAAACCTTATCGATCGTTCCATTGCTTCTTCAACGATAGGTCCTTCATGAAATACATGTATTACATGATCTAACTGCATTACAATATCAGCTCCCAAATCTTCCTACAACAAAATCAAAAGAAAATAAAGTTTCGGAGAGCAATAATTTAAACTGATTTAAAAAAAGAAAAAGTCATTCAGATATTCATTTGCTCAAGATTACTAATGGCTGTTTAACTAATAATGCTCAGAAAATGCATAAGGAAAAACAAAATAAAGAAATAAACAAATATAAAGTGGTTGGTACACAAAATAAATTGACCTCGACAAACCAAGTTCTTACCTGTATCTGTATGCTTGCTTCAGGACTCAAAATCATCTTCTCGCCAGTATGCGGACTTTCGAAATTGACCCCTTTCTCTTCCACATTCATCAAATCATTCAATGAAACCATCTAAAAAGTAATCGTTTAAATCAGTTGAGATTACAAATGATATGGTACATTATGAAATTTGACAAATTTAGGATTATACCTGAAAGCCACCAGAATCAGTAAGAATAGAATATGGCCAATTAATAAAGGAATGAAGACCACCAGCTTTGCGAACAATTTTGTGACCAGGCCTATGGCCCATATGATACGTATTACACAACATCAAACGAAAACCCATTCTTGATAGTTGTTCCGGCAATAAACCTTTCATAGTTCCTTGTGTTCCAACTGGCATAAATACCGGAGTATCAACATCAGCATGTGATAACCTTAAACTACTCAGTATCATCAACATGTTTTTATTCTAACGATATTAACAGGTGATTAACTTTCATTGTTCACTACCTCATATATCGCTACTATTTGAAATATTTGAGCATTTGATTTCCTTCCGGAAATTTACCTGAGTCGTCCATGACGAGCTGACCGCACCTTCGACACTATCCTAAAGTCCAAAGCCATTTATCTCATCAACACACAAAAAAGTACGTGGTTCAAACTTGTTAGCTAAAAATCAATTTGTAGTGAAAAAAAAAGACAGGAACATTTCCCTCACACAATCTACTGTTGCATTACACTTCCATTAATATTCTGTAAAAACTTTTCGACACGTTAATTTGATATCCGAGATTGCTTATGTTACACTTTCCATTTATATTTTAAATTAACACAATAAAGGATCTAACAAAATTCATCAACCTCATTTTAAAACTCATTTTTAATTTTCATCATGTAAACCCAAAAAAGAAAAAACTTGAATAGCTAAACTTTACTTGATCAAATATGAAAGGTAAGTGCTATAACAATACCAGTAATACGAAAAAATTAATTTTAATTTTCTAAATCATATGATATAGCTTTTTAGATACCTAACAGAGAAAAAAAGGAAGAATTGATCGCTAACGAAATGTAAACATTGGGCTTGGGAACAAAAAAAAAAAACTAATCGATGGTTTTTTTTTTTTTTTTTTTTTTTTTTTTAATACGTATATTTTTAATTTTTGGAAAATGAATGAGAAAAAAAAAGTACATTTAACATAGATGACGATCACATCTTTGGAAAAAAATATTTTTTATAACAGTTTAACGAATGAATGAATAATTCCTATTCCCAGTACACTGCATACAACTGTGCACACGTACAAATAGCATTGCAAATAAGTCAATTCTATAATAATTGGTATATCGAAGCATTAAAAAGACAAAGAGAAAGAAAAAAAAAAGAAACTAAGCTGAAGGAAATAATACAAAATACAATAAGTACATTGTAAGGGATGAGTAAACTAAAACTAGACTAAATTAAAAGAAAAACACATCCTACTATGTTTGTATGTCATATGACACACACACAAAAAAAAAAATTTATACAAAAATTACCAAACATTTGTTTTAGAAAATAAAATTTTAGTTTAACGTTTAATAAATCATCTCACCTCTCCTAAATTGAAGTTGAGAACGTAGAAAAGAAAAAAAAAAAATTATACAACATGTACCGCATGCCAAAAGTGTAAAAATTAAACAGAAGAGGTAAGGGAAACATAATGGGAATATCATTGATTTAGCTATCTTCTAAAAAATGATAAGAAAGGTTAAATATTGCTAACTCGAGCTAAATTAAACTAAAATTCGCCGAAAGTAATTCATTATTTATCGCTTTTTTTATAATGCACTCTCTGGAGTTCGAATAATTAAATTCTGATCCAGAGTAACAACAGCATATGATGATAGATATATGATAGTAATAAAATTTTAATAGTAATATGCTCATCTTGAGACGAACAAAACCGATGCATTTCACAATAAATGTATTTTAACAATTTTCAAGGATTCACAACGGGTTCGAGCGCCGTATTTGGATCGCATACTTCCAGAATTGCGCGTCCTTCAACTTCTGACATACTCAGTTGTTTTAACACCTGCAAAATACAGCAATACTTTGTAAATCAAAAAGGAAATAAACTTCCGGGTTAGAAAATAATTCGTTACTTCATAATCAACAAACCAATCACATAGGATAACAGTTGCCAATTATGTATAACAAAAGATAAATCATTTTTTAGGACCGGATTTTTTTTCCCCTTTACCGAGCACTTCGTATAACTTATATCACCATTAGTGATGAGAGAATTTTTTGCTCTCGTGAAGCTACAGTATTCAATGATGGGATTAAATTATCTCTAAATAACTGACGGAATCTTCACACTTTAAATTAAAGTAACTAAGGAAAGAGTAATGTGCAAACCTGTGATGCCTGATTGACCGGATAAACTCTGTAATCAGGAGCATCTATCTGTCCTCCAGCAATTAAACAAACAAGATTTTTAAGCTGTTCGATGGAACCACGTGTAACTCCCATGATTGCAAGACGATTACGGGCAACTAGTTTAATAGGAAGCTGTACATCAAGACCCGACAGACCACCAACAAACAATACACCACCCTAAATATTGAAATATGCATATACTTTTGATATGGCACGAAATAGTTAAACCCATTAATTTAGAGTGGGAGATTCCAAGAAGCTAACAAACGCGTACCTCAGCAAGGCATTTAAGAGAACGAGTAACAGTACGTGGCGAAGTGACGAAATCGAATACAACTTGAACACCCGTACGAGCAACATCTTTAGTTCTCATAATGAGATATTCCTCGAATTCTGGAAAAAACCTTAACATCTGTAACTAAAAGCAAACTTTCCTAGTTTCCTTAAGAAAGCTAACATTGTAACTTAATGCTTTACAAAGTATTTTGAAAATGCGAGGCTGAACCAACCGGAATCATCCCAATGCACGACGAAATCTGCACCATTACGCTCAGCAAGGCACAGACGTTCTTCACGAGCATCCGCTACCATGATCTAAAAAAATTAAAATTACAACGGAAATATTTCATGAATCAATAAAACCAACAACAAATGTGATTACCGGGATACATAACCTGCCATAAAGTACTTTTCTAGCTTCATGTAATTATATCTTAATATTTGCATTGTGTCTAATGGAAATAATAAATACTGCGGCACAAAACTAATAAAATGTCTAAGAAATAGATTAACCTTAATTTTTCTTTCCTGATGTCCGGAAAGAAAATGCTTCGCCAACTTTAGTAGCCACAGACCCAAACCACCGGCACCGACGATGAGGATGTTGCAGAAGCCCTTTGACTGCGAGAATGCTTCAACAATCGGACGTGCCTGCATGAAAAAAAAAACTACAATTTTCGAAGATGTGCCCATGCAATCACAAAATATCGATAAACAAATAAGGATATACATAGATCATCAAATGATCATGCATATTATCGATAATAATTTTCGATATCAATAAAAGTTCCGAATTTGAAAAACTGAAATTGCGAAACCTATAAAGTTTACGATCCTTTCGAATCTAATTTAGATTTATAAAAAAAAAAAAAGACTAAAACTATTATGGTCACTAACGCAAAAAACAACGTATTGAAAATGTCGACTTTTATGAAACTATTCATCTCCCTTAATACTATCGTCTTAAACATTCATCTGTTTGAAACAGATATGATATTACTAATATTCTGAATAAGTAATCCACAAAATCAACTCCACTTTCTAATAATTTGGTTTCCCAACTTAACCTAGGAATTTGTTATTAAACTAACTGCTAAGTTAGAGTTACAACATAACGTCGTGCGCATATTATTGATGCTATTGTTTTTGAAATATTATTAAAGCATTCATATAACAAGTGAGCCAAATTACTTGAATAACAGCAGAAAGAGCCCAAGTAGCACCGGCTGGAAGGATGGAAGCGACATGCATTGAGAGAGTATCCGGAATCTTGATAAGAAACTGCAGTGTAGGTACTGTGACATAGTCAGCATAGCCGTGTTGACACATTTCATCCGTTGGCCAAACAATTACCTAGAGAATGATCAGCAGTTAGACAAAGCTTTTTGATTATCGGATATATTATGTAAAAATGAACGAACAAGCCTGCACAGGAAAAAAAAATGCGATACTATAAAATTTCCTGGAAATTCAAGTTGATGTGTTGAGTCACCTTATAAACTATAAAATGCGCCAGCATTCATCGTAGACATACCTTGTCTCCAATTTTCAAATCGAATTCCGTACATTTTGCTTCATCGCCGAATGCTTCAACTACACCAGAAACTTCATATCCTGAAAAAAACTATTGCATCAATGCGCAAAAACCATAAATTCTAAAATTTTCAAACTTTTCAAAACTTGTGAAAGATGTATAGAAGAGATTATTCGATAAAGAAAAAGCACTTGTGATATAACAAACAAAATTAACCTGGGAAAAGACTCGTATCTTTTATACCATTCGTAATTCTTGCTTGCTTCGTATTTGTTACTTCACGGTCCGTAAGACATACTCCAGCATAACACACCTCAAAATTATTATATAATTAACAGCATTTTTTGTTTGCAACAATACATTAGAATTTAGCTAAACAAAATTGATGAATATCAACGACAACAACTTACGTGTTATAAAAACATCAAACATGAATGTCGCAAACTGGTTTTCGAGCTACATAATTATTCGTTATCACCTATGAGATGAGACTTAGTAATTTTTTTTACCACTTTTTTGATTCATACTTGATAGTTTTGTTTAAACTTTCCTAAATATGTGTATTTATGTTTAGTTTTGGGCGGTATAGAATAAAACTCGAAAAAAAAAAAGCAAATCTAGAAAGAAACTATCGATATTTATTCTATATGAATAATCTGATGACTTTTTATTTCCTTCCCCTATTCATCAATTTTTCACCGCTGACGATATTTCGTTATTTTCTTTCCTTTATTTAATTCTGAAATCTATTTGAACCACAGCGTTACATGAAATGTTATCTAGAAATTTATCCAGAAAAACATCGGGGAAATTCATTACAACTGGAATGCATGATGTTTTTCTAATTTTTGAACTACCTATGCAAAAATATGAGGAAATGAAGGAATTAATAAGTGTACCTTAACACGAGCACCTTTTTCAGGAACATCAGGAATAGTTTCTTCTTCAAAGAAATGTACTTCCTTCAAATCTTTAGGTGAACCCAATGAAATTCGACGATTCTTAACACCACCTGACATTGTTCAATGCTGCAAAAAAAAAAAAAAAAAAAAAAAAAAAACACTATTGCCATTTCAACAAAAAATACAAAACACTCTTACAATATGACAACGAGGAACATGTTGTTATCGCATAAAGGAATATACATAAATACAATGCTGCTTAATTATAAATAACTGATAACCATTACTATCTAATTGACCCAAATCTATAGCAGCTATCAAACATTGCTTCACGTGATGTTCAAAATAATAATCGTTAATTTCACCGTGTAAATTCTTCCTCTTCGTAAAATATAGAATTTCTAAATACATCACATTGGTTGAAATAATTCCATATACACAACACAAATATATACATACATTTTCCAATTCCTAACGCAAAACGAAAGAAAAACTGGAAACGATCTGTACTATTCATCATTCTATATTCATATTCTGTTGGCAAGCAATTTCATCAGAAAATTTCATCGAGAATTAGAAAAAAATTTTTAGAGATAAAAAACTAATGTAAAATTGCAATTTTTAACGTTTTAAAGTATTCTAGCAATTTCAAAAAATCATATAACACACAATAAAAAGTAAACTTAAAACATTTCAATGATATATAATCAGAAATAATAAATTTATATGTATACATACCTACACATTCATACATACATACAAATTACTAATTTCTATTATGCATTCAAATAACATAAACCACCGATCAATTAATGCAACTATAAATGAGTAACAATAATAATGCTACAAATTTACTAAAACATATCTGAATGAAATAAACGATAAGCTGTTCATCCGCCTCTTACAAACTAATTTCATAAAGAAATTGACAAAATCGATAACACTTTTCAAGTAATGTAAACAAACAATGAAATGAAATGAGATGAAATGAAATGGAATGGAATGGAATGAAATGAAATGAAATGAAATGGAATGAAATGAAATGAAATGGAATGAAATGGAATGAAATGGAATGAAATGAAATGAAATGGAATGAAATGAAATGAAATGAAATGAAATGGAATGAAATGGAATGAAATGAAATGGAATGGAATGGAATGAAATGAAATGAAATGAAATGGAATGAAATGAAATGAAATGGAATGAAATGAAATGAAATGAAATGAAATGAAATGAAATGGAATGGAATGGAATGAAATGAAATGAAATGAAATGGAATGAAATGAAATGAAATGGAATGAAATGAAATGAAATGAAATGGAATGGAATGAAATGGAATGGAATGAAATGAAATGAAATGAAATGAAATGGAATGAAATGAAATGAAATGGAATGAAATGAAATGAAATGGAATGGAATGGAATGAAATGGAATGGAATGGAATGAAATGGAATGAAATGGAATGAAATGAAATGAAATGAAATGGAATGGAATGAAATGGAATGGAATGAAATGAAATGAAATGAAATGGAATGGAATGAAATGGAATGGAATGGAATGAAATGAAATGAAATGAAATGAAATGAAATGAAATGAAATGAAATGAATGAAATGAAATGAAATGAAATGAAATGAAATGGAATGGAATGGAATGAAATGAAATGAAATGAAATGGAATGAAATGAAATGAAATGGAATGAAATGGAATGAAATGAAATGAAATGGAATGGAATGAAATGGAATGGAATGAAATGGAATGAAATGAAATGAAATGAAATGAAATGGAATGAAATGAAATGAAATGGAATGAAATGAAATGAAATGAAATGGAATGGAATGGAATGAAATGGAATGGAATGGAATGAAATGGAATGAAATGGAATGAAATGAAATGGAATGAAATGGAATGAAATGAAATGGAATGGAATGAAATGAAATGAAATGAAATGGAATGGAATGAAAATGGAATGGAATGAAATGAAATGAAATGAAATGAAATGAAATGAAATGAAATGAAATGAAATGGAATGAAATGAAATGAAATGAAATGGAATGAAATGAAATGGAATGGAATGAAATGAAATGAAATGAAATGAAATGAAATGAAATGAAATGAAATGAAATGAAATGGAATGGAATGAAATGAAATGAAATGAAATGGAATGGAATGAAATGAAATGAAATGAAATGAAATGAAATGAAATGAAATGAAATGGAATGAAATGAAATGAAATGAAATGGAATGGAATGAAATGGAATGGAATGAAATGAAATGAAATGAAATGAAATGAAATGAAATGAAATGAAATGGAATGAAATGAAATGAAATGAAATGAAATGGAATGGAATGAAATGAAATGAAATGAAATGGAATGAAATGAAATGAAATGGAATGAAATGAAATGAAATGAAATGGAATGGAATGAAATGGAATGGAATGGAATGAAATGGAATGGAATGGAATGAAATGGAATGAAATGGAATGGAATGGAATGAAAAGAAATGAAATGAAATGGAATGAAATGAAATGAAATGGAATGAAATGGAATGAAATGGAATGAAATGAAATGGAATGAAATGGAATGAAATGAAATGAAATGAAATGAAATGGAATGAAATGAAATGGAATGGAATGAAATGAAATGAAATGGAATGAAATGAAATGAAATGAAATGAAATGAAATGAAATGAAATGAAATGAAATGAAATGAAATGGAATGAAATGAAATGAAATGAAATGGAATGGAATGAAATGAAATGAAATGAATGAAATGAAATGAAATGAAATGAAATGAAATGAAATGGAATGAAATGAAATGAAATGAAATGGAATGGAATGAAATGGAATGGAATGAAATGAAATGAAATGAAATGAAATGAAATGAAATGAAATGAAATGAAATGAAATGAAATGGAATGAAATGAAATGAAATGAAATGAAATGAAATGGAATGGAATGAAATGAAATGGAATGAAATGAAATGAAATGGAATGAAATGAAATGAAATGAAATGGAATGGAATGAAATGGAATGGAATGGAATGAAATGGAATGGAATGGAATGAAATGGAATGGAATGAAATGAAATGAAATGGAATGAAATGAAATGAAATGAAATGAAATGAAATGAAATGAAATGAAATGAAATGAAATGAAATGGAATGAAATGAAATGAAATGAAATGGAATGGAATGAAATGGAATGGAATGAAATGAAATGAAATGAAATGAAATGAAATGAAATGAAATGAAATGAAATGGAATGGAATGAAATGAAATGAAATGGAATGAAATGAAATGAAATGAAATGGAATGAAATGAAATGAAATGGAATGAAATGAAATGAAATGAAATGGAATGGAATGAAATGGAATGGAATGGAATGAAATGGAATGGAATGAAATGGAATGAAATGGAATGGAATGGAATGAAAAGAAAAGAAAAAGAAGAGAAAAAAGAAGAGGAAAGATAAGAATAGAAGAGAAAACTGGTTTAATGGGAATGACAGAAAGAAAAATATTGAAGAGCGTATGAAAGGAAATTAAATGCTACTACACTTCTGCATATGTATGTATGTATGTAATATATGAGTATGTGTATTTATAATACGTGCAGAATAATGTATGTATGTGTGTATGTATGCATGTATGTAGATATGTTGTTTTATTCCCTGAAAGCGTCGTTTCTACTTCCTTCCCCTCTCTTTATAACCTCAAAACTTTAAGAAGCATCATTGATCAAAATGACAATGGAGTTTAAAATATTAGTATCATCTCTTATTCAGTCAATATTTTTGAATATTCTATTATTATCATATCACTATCATTAAAATTATTATATATTTTAATCTCCCTTGTATCAGTTTTCAGTCATTATCATTAATATTATTATATAACTAATTCCTTATTATTATTTTATTCTTTTAACTAATTTATTCTTTTATTTTATCATAACTTTTTCCATTTAACATTTGATCATTTTATTCTATTCCATTTCATTCATATTTTCATATGTAATTTTAACGAAATTTATGGTATTATTAAGCATGTAATTTGTATGAAGTCAAAATTTCGTTTTTTTTTCTTTTTTTTTTAAATTGTTTATTTTCAAAAAGAATTGGACGCAAAATTTCACTAAAAAAAAATTTTTTTTTTCAAGAAATATATCAATGTATTAGGTTAGCGTTCGAAGCTTTAAAAAACTAATACAACACAATCAATATATTCTTGCTTTCTACTTCTTTTCTTTCATTCGCATTAGATTGATCAAAAAAAAAATTTTTTTTAATTTACATTATCATCTTTTTCTTTTTTTGTAAATTAAATCTATCAAATGTAAGATAATTTTCATTTTAAAGATGGGGATTTTTCTTCCTTTCTTTTTTTAAATCGAATATGTTACATCATACTCATCATTTTCTTTCCATTATCATCATTATCAAATATAGTAGTAACAGTAATCATATCACAAATGATAAAATTATCCCAAGTAATAAAAAATGTCGTGGAAATTTTTACAAATTTTAAGTGTCAGTACGATAATCAACAATAAAACACCGAAATAACATGTTATCAATTTAAATTCAGTGAGCTAATAAGAAAGAGAGAGAGAGCGAGAAAAAAGGAAAGTGATGTAATGATGTCTGTTATTTGCTTAAATGTTTGAAGATATGATATGGATAAGAATAAGATTTTAATTTTTTTTTTTCTTTTCTTTTTTTTTTGAAACTAACTGGTGCAAATAAAAAAATGGGGAGAGAAATTTGTTCATTTTAAAGTAAGTGGATGATTTTTGATCACATCAGAGAAATGGATGGATGAATGAATAAATATATAAATGAATGGTAATTGTATAAAAAGATAAGAAATAACACTGTTCAGTAAGTAAACCAGAAAAATTATCTTCTTTCATAAACTAAGTTCATTTCATTCCTTTTTTTCCTCTAAACTATAAAATATTGTCACTGGAATTCCAAAATTCAAATACTTTCATATATGTTTTTTTCTTTTTATTTAATTTTACTATACCATCATATCATGAAATTATGCTAACTTTTTAGTATACTATCATATACATTTGTTTATTTATTTACAAATACAGTTAACTAACTGGTTAAGC